AGCCCTGTCTTAGAATAATTCCTACTATTTTGAGGAAGTGTATACTGGCTACGGCAACTCAAGATGGACAAACAGTACTATTGGCACTTTTTTCTAGTTTTTCAAGCGAAGGTCTTTTACGGGAGTATGCGAGCACACTCATTCAACAAAGGAGTGTAGACTTCGGTTATGCCTTGAGAAAAAAATGTGTGCGCACGAACGGCCAAAAAAACCTTGCCGAAGACCAAAACTAACAAAAACATCACAAAATGTCATCATAATACACTACATGACCAAAACTACACTTGTGGACACCCCTTCAAATTAGTGGATTCGGCTATTTCAGCCACACCCGTTGCTGACAGGTGTATAAAATCGAGCACACAGCCATGCAATCTCCATAGACAAACATTGGCAGTAGAATGACCTTACTGAAGAGCTCAGTGACTTTCAATGTCGGCTGGAGTGGTGTAAAGCTCGCCGCCATTGGACTCTGGAGCAGTGGAAACGTGTTCTCTGGAGTGATGAATCACGCTTCAACATCTGGCAGTCCGACGGACAAATCTGGGTTTAACGGATGCCAGGAGAACGCTACCTGCCCCAATGCATAGTGTAAACTGTAAAGTTTGGTGGAGGAATAATAGTCTGGGGCTGTTTTTCATGGTTCGGGCTAGGCCCCCTAGTTCCAGTGAAGGGAAATCTTAACGCTACAGCATACAATGACATTCTAGACGATTCTGTGCTTCCAACTTTGTGGCAACAGTTTGGGGAAGGCCCTTTCCTGTTTCAGCATGACAATGCCCCCGTGCACAAAGCGAGGTCCATATAGAAATGGTTTGTCGAGATTGGTGTGGAAGAACTTGACTGGCCTGCACAGAGCCCTGACCTCAACCCCATCGATCACCTTTGGGATGAATTGGAACGCTGACTGCGAGCCAGGCCTAATCGCCCAACACCAGTGCCCAACCTCACTAATGCTGAATGGAATCAAGTCTACGCAGTAATGTTCCAACATCTAAATGAAAGCCTTCCCATAAGAGTGTAGGCTGCAACTCCATATTAATGCCCATGATTTTGGAATGAGATGTTCGACAAACAGGTGTCCACATACTTTTGGTCATGTAGTGTATATGCACAAACTGTTCCGAACATTTTGGGATGGGAAGCATGCCGAGTTCAGCTAGGCGCCAGCAGAACCAGAGCGTGCAGAAGGCTTTAGTCTCAATGCCGACCCATCTCTTCATTAAGGAACTCAGCCAGCCAGCCGGCCAGCATGGAGCCTGTGGCTATGTTGCCTGATGCCTGCTTCCCTGCCTGTTACTCAATCTCCATATTAAAGACCCAGGGAAAGGTCAGCAGGCAGGGAAGTGAGGGGGAAGAACAACACCACAACAACAACCCAGAGAGAAAGAGATGGGAGGGGAAGTCAATGAACTGGAAAAATACCATAAAGCCACAGAAGTAAAACTGCTCAAACCTGCAGACTAGGAGAGGAGTGTGAGAATGACTTCAGGGTTTTTTCTGGATCAAAAAGGAGTTTTGGTGGTGGTATGTCTGTGGCTGTCATGAAAGTTTGTCAGCCAGTTATTGTCATGCAAAAGCCTGCCGGTCTCACGGTAACTGACCGTGAATTAACATAAACACATCACCTTTATTTAACCAGGTAAGCCGGTTGAGAACAAGTTCTCATTTACAACTGTGACCTGGCCAAGATAAAGCTTACCTGGTTACATATGGGGTAAAACAAAACATAAAGTCAAAAATACAACACGTTTAGCATCTCCAGGCCTCGACGCATACAAGCCGCATACGAGCCGCTGATGCGCGCCTTTGGAACATCTACATTTAAAAAAGTCTAATAAATCAATTGAATATACACCATCATAATAAATCCATTATGATACAGAGTTGGCCTACTGTGTGTTATCTGGCTATGCGCCATGCTATAAGCTGTAGACTTGTTGATTTAGCAGACAATATATGCTTATAAGTCCTGTGCCATTATTTTATATTATGTGATTTTATAGTTAGAAGAGTATAATTTAGCTTTAATAAAATAGAAAGGATATTTTCCCCATTCCGGGAGCAAGAGTGTGCATATGAAGTGGCTATGTTGAGCATAAAAGTGAGTTATTTGGCAACTTTAGTTGTGAATGATACAAACCTTAGAAGGTCTTAGAAATCAAAACATATATGGGCTGCATGATGCGACTATAGGTTATTGATGATTTGAGAAATTCGCTAAAAAAGCTTGCGCTCTGTTCCTTTCGTCAGGCTGCATAGCTGTTCTCTCATCAAGTGATCATATTTTCACCCATCAGACTATTCTCAATGTAATCTTGTCTTTAATATGTCAAATTAGTTTCTATTTAGAATGGTCCATTATGAAATGGGCAGGAACAGGGGCAGGGGAAAAAAGAAATGTCGTCCATATGCACTCCAATAAGGAATGGAGGCCACTTTCCCGCCGGTTCGTTTTTAACTCATGTCAGGTTGGCTACTCCAGTTATTTCACTCCACACATCAACCACTGTTTGAGGAGCATGCAGCCTCTCCCAGCACAACAGGTGATATTCCGCCCAAACTCTGTATGCCATGGGCTCTCCAACCCTGTTCATGCAGCTACCTAGTGCTTAATTTGGAAAACCAAGTGAAATCTGTTCGGAAACAACAACACATATTTCATTAAACTGTTGACAGCCCCTCTCTCTGCGTGCTCGAGAAAGGAATGAAGGAGAGAGGGGAGGAGATGGAAACGCACAGTGATGAGATATACCGCAACAGCCCTAGGTGGTGGGCGTGGCAAGGGGCTCAGCTGTGTGTGTAGGAGTGACATCACAAGTTTAATGCAAACAGTGATTCATTTGATTACTCTCTTTCTCACTCTTTCTTTCTCTTTTCTCACTCTTTGTCGCACACCGGACGACGCACACACACACACACACACACACACAATACACATATTTATTACCTGTATGCGTCATACCCCTGGCTGTGTACGTCTAAATAAAAAATATCCTTCTTCCTTAGAAAGACTTCCTAAAACTATTCAACATCAACATAACGCTATTGCTAGTCTCTTTTGTTTGTCTAATGTCATGTGTTCTATTGTGTTGTTTCTGACAGATCCTGCCGGTCGTCACAGGCAGAAGTCGGTGGTGAGCGATATCTGTTACCAGACAGAGATCTCCAGCCTCATGGACTTTGGCACCCCAGACTCCTCACTCGACAAAGGTAGGGTGTTGCCTTGGAAATACAGGGTGTTGCCTTGGTGATGGAAGGAAGTGTGTGCATGGTGAGTTGAGATTGAGACACGGACCTGTCAGCATGTCAGCTGGGTGCACAGACCGGAGCAAAGGCCTGTGATGTGGAAGAGTCTGTCTGTCTGTCTGTCTGTCTGTCTGTGAGAACTGTGTTAGATACTATAGACAAATCCCTTTTAAGAACGGACAGTATACGGCACACAGGGTTAATAATCTGCTTGGTATTGTACTGTATACATCCAATTCTGTGCTGGGCTCAGACACAATACTCTATGAGTTACAGAGAAACATTGATAGGAGAGCTGAATGGAGAGAGAGGGACAGATGTAACCTCTTCATATTGTATTGCTGAATAGAGAAGAGAACTATTGATGATCATCATTGTTGTATTGTGCCGATGCCTATTTTTGCCCTAATCACTGCCTTCAGTTTGAGTTAAATGGCATCTCCTTTTCCCTCCAGAGATCGCTCTGAATAAAGGCTCTCTGTCTTAGTTGTGATCTGTAATGATACTGGCCACTGAGGAAGATCGTCATAAAGAGTATTGATCACCTGAAGCTTGTTGATGAATCTATAAGTCTCGAGGGCATTTCATTTTCTCCTGCTTAATCACTCCCATTATTCTTTATCACGCTGCCAGAAAGCCACAAGAGTGTTCCCCAGAATTGTAATTTTCATCTTTTCATCAAACACAGCCCCTTGAAGCAGCAAAAGAGCACTCTCGGGCCATGAAATTAGCCTCATGACATTTCCATCAGCCCTGGACAGAGGTAGTATCTGTTTGAGTCACTCCTACCTTTCTCCATCCCTCCTTCATTCCTCTCTCCTTCCCTCCCTTCTTCCCCTCCCAGCTAACATCTTAATGTCTGTCTTTCTCAGCTCTCCATCAACATTCTTCTGTGCTGATAATGCAGAGTGACAGATCAACTGGTGCAGCTGGAGGACAGGGGGAGCGGAGAGAGAGAGGAGAGAAAATGGAGAGACAGAGAGAGGGATGGAGAGACAGAGAGAGGGATGGAGGGGGAGAGAGAGGGATGGAGGGGGAGAGAGAGGGATGGGAGAAGAGGGAGGGCTGGAGGGAGGAGGAGGACAGAGAGAGGAGGGAGGGAGGATGGGAGAGAGAGGAGGCAGGGGGAGAGAGAGGAGGAGATGGAGGAGAGGAGAGAGAAAGAGAGAGGGAGGGATGAAGAGGACAGAGAGAGGGATGGAGAGACAGAGGGGGATGGAGGTGGGAGAGAGAGGGATGGAGGAGGAGAGAGAGAGAGAGGGATGGGAGGGGGAAGAGGAGGGGATGGAGGAGGAGAGAGAGGATGGAGAGACCGAGAGAGGGGATTTTGGAGGGGGAGAGGAGAGGAGGAAGAGACAGAGAGAGGAGTGAGGGAGAGAGGGGATGGACGGGTTGTGAGAGCGAGAGGGGTGGAGAGAACAGAGAGGAGGGGCTGGAGAGACAGAGAGAGGGATGGAGGGGGAGAGAGAGGGATGGAGAGACAGAGAGAGGGATGGAGGGGGAGAGAGAGGGATGGAGGGGGAGAGAGAGGGATGGAGAGACAGAGAGAGGGATGGAGGGGGAGAGAGAGGGATGGAGGGGGAGAGGGAGCACGAAAAAGAGAGCGCATGAGTTATTACGCAGATAAATTGACTTTTGCTAGCTTATGTAATTATGCTCGGATCGATGACACAGAGATTCAGTGAGTTTAGACCTGAAATCAAGGATAGCCACATGAGGAGTGAAAAGACTGCGGATGGGGGACTGAGAGGATGAAGACAAAAGAGCAGTATCATGAGAAGGGTAACCATGAGTAAAGATATCAGTAAAATGATTCCAGTTGCACTGAAACCATGGCTAAAACGATGAGCTTTAGCTAGGAATTCAACTCTCGTCACACTCACAACCCTGAATGGGCGTCGAATGAATAAGAATGAATAAGACATGAATGACACATGACTGTGATTCTTGAACAGTCAGTCAGGCAGTCAGTCAGTGGTTGACAGATCCATTTGCCTCAGTTGATAAGCTGGCTTGATGGCATACTTGTCCTCATTCCTACAACAGCAAGGTGACACACTCTCTCTCTCCCACTCACACGTGTATTCTATATTTGAGACACTTAATTATTCTGTATTACTACTACATGCTTGACAGGGGAAAATAACCCTATATTAGCCAACTAATTACATTCTGTGACAGAATCATAAGACATTTCAAAACCAATCTGAGGATGAAGAAAGTTGCTTGTTTACTGTATTAGTGTCGTTCCATCACTTTCAGTTTATACAAACAGCAGATTTATCCTGATTTGATCTCTCAGAAGCCTGAAACATAAACAATTATTTTCCATTCAAACGTTGTTTTTCCCGGTTATGATAAGGCAACACATCAGTACTAAGCTAAGTTATTTCAGTCGTTTAAATAGCCAGTTGGAAGTCTTACAGTTTTACCTCTGAAATAATTTCCTACCCCGCCCAGTATCCACTTCTTCTAACCCAGACTGGCTTTATCGCTGCTCCTCTAGTACTTGGCTGCACCCGCTGCCCCCTGTCCCTATTCCTGTCCCTGGGCCTCAGGCTAAAGCTCTAACTCTATTAGCTCTGTGATTGTGTCCACACTCATCCAGCCCTGATCCAACCCTGCATCTGACAGCAAGTCCCTTGAGCCCTGGGACTGGGAGAAAACACTTCCTGGGTTGAGGTCTCACGCTAACAACCCCAGTGCTGTGGGTGGAATTGTTTTGGTTTACCTTCATTTGTGACTTGGAAAACATTGCAGGCCTCATTATGCTGCAGGCTATAGTGTAACTAGGTCCCAACATTTTTGCATGGCCAGGTTAGGTCACATGATCAGGGAAAACTCCTGTCCCTAGTTTCTTCAGTAGGGTATTATTTCCAGTCCACGCGTTCTATATAAACATGTGAACACACTCAGATGTGATTTATGGTAAAATAGTCCATAAGGGCAGTGTGTCCCTAGGGGTATTGTTCTCTGTGCTGTAGGTGAGCTCTTCAGTACAGTACAGTACAGTACATTATGTCCTGTGAAAGAGAGATCTCTTAGTCACTGTGGCATTCAACTTGCTGCCATTAGGTGGAGTAGGAGTGCTATAGTAGTGACTCACCTGCCCTATCACCTGAGGCTACAGGTACGCCCTCCCTCCTCCGCCCTCCCTCGGTTGAGAGAGAGAGAGAGAGAGAGAGGTAATCATGTCAGAGCACACTGGTCCCCCTCCCTACAGCAGCAGCTGGAAAGGGTTAAAAAGAGGAGGGGCGAGAGAGGTTTGGAATGGAAACTGCCTCTGGGTGTGTACCAGAACAGGTAGGGAAAAGGAGAGGGGAGGGAGGGAGGGAGGGAGGGAGAGGGAGAGCGAGAGCAAGAGAGAGAGAGAAAACATGGAGAGTACAGACAAAACAGGCTCCCTCTCTCGGGGGAACACTTCCTAGTAACCTGGCTGGGTGGAGCCAATGGCCAGAGCTGGGAGCGGCTGAGCGAGAGGCTGCTGTGGTGTGGTGTATATGCTACTGTATGTTTCTGAATGGTGTCTGTCTGAGTTGGGTTCCTCTGCTATGGTAACACACACCAAGCACTGACCGTGGAGCCCAGCGGAGCCTGTGCTGTGGAGGAGGAGGACATGAGGTCCGACAGGGAGGAGGGGACACCCGGTGAGTGAGAGAAAGAGAGAGAGGGAACGAGGGAAGAAAGAGGAGTGGGTTTAGATGATCGGTCACTGTTTAGAGGGTTGGTTTAGGCCAGAGCTATGTTTCTACGGTAGAGGCGTGTGTGAGTTCATGAGTTTGTTTTCACGTGTACACCTATGTGTTTGAATGCGCACACTGTATTTATGAGAGGAATTTGAATGAGTCATGTAAACTCATTATCACTGAGTAACTAAATGAACAGCTCATCATTCAGTATTATTAGTAATGTATTTCCATAATATGTTGCTATATATGGAAAGGTTGTGTTAGCAACTCATTGTTGAATGTAAAGAAATATTGTTTGGTGTGTAATTTTAAAAATAAAATATTTATTGGTAGTAGGTCCCTAACCTCTTTGTTTATTTGTTTTACATGTAAACAAATTAGGTTGATCAGGATCTGACATGTACGCATGTACATTGGTTAATATGCTTGTTAATCAGTTAATCAGACATAAGTATATGATACTCCTGGAGTGAGTCTAGTCTGGGGAATTAAGGGAGATATTTGGTAATGAGCAGCTCAGTCAACATAGCACACATAGCCTACATATTTGGGAGATGATTAGTCAGTCAGTCTGTCATAAAATCAGTAGATAGTGATAGCACTGACGTCATCCATGTATTCCTATGGAAAACCGGTGGCACATGAAGCCGGAAGTATTTGCATTTGAAGCGCACCGTATTGCTGAATGGGGCTGAATGGCACAAACAAATCACTAAGGATCATGGTGAAAATAGCCATAACTAGCAAAGGATTATGGTCGATGTAGTCGTTTTCATCCCTGCCTGACAGAGTCAACTTGGTTTTAATGTCTATGTACCTGATGCTAGCCTACTGTTAAACCTTTGCAGCAGAATGTTAACTTGAAAGCTCAGCGTTACCTAGAACCTAGCCAGGTCAACATTGGAAAGCAAATATTAACTATGATAATCAGAATAACCAAAAAAATTAAGATAAGACTCTTTCGAGTGACGATTACTTCAGTTAAATAGAGAACATGCCGGCATGGTAAATCTCTTTTGTAAAATCTAACTCGAATTGGCGCAAAGTTAAGTGCACGAGCACCCTATCTAGTCTAGATATCTGTCACGCCCTGGCTCTGGGGACTCTTAAATGTTGAGCGAGGGTGTGGAGTTTCTATGTCATATTTTCTATGTTGTGTTTTCTAGATCGTGTTGATCTATGTTGGCCAGGGTGGTTTCCAATCAGAGGCAGCTGTATCTCGTTGTCTCTGATTGGGGTCCATACTTAGGCAGCCTGTTTGGCACTAGTCGGTGTGGGATCTTGTTCCGTTAAGGTTTGTTTTGTGTAACCTAGGACTTCACGTTTCGTTTGTTTGTTGTTTTGTCGTGAGTTAAGTACTTAATAAAATGTACGCTTATCACGCTGTGCCTTGGTCCGTATCTTCCATAAACGATCGTGACAGAAGATCCCACCAAAAGAGGACCAAGCAGCGTGTCCAGGAACAGACAGCCTGGACCTGGGAGGAGATCCTGGACGGGAAGGGATCCTGGACTTGGGAGGAGATTCAGGCCGGAATGGATCGCCGTCCTTGGGAGGAGACTGTGGAGGCGCGCTATAGAGAGGAGCAGCGGCAACGCAGAGGGTACTGGCCGAGGAGGAAGGCCGAGAGACAGCCCCAAGAAACATTTTTGGGGGGGCAAAGAGGGTGGTTGGCGGAGCCTAGGGTTAGAGCAGAGCCAACTCCCCGTACTCAGGCTAGGAAGCGTGTGACTGGGCAGGCTCCGTGTTATGCAGAGCCACGTACTGTGCCGCGAGTGTTCCGGCACAGTCCTGTACGTCCTGTGCTAGCACCACGCACGTGTCGTGCAAAGATGGGCATTCAGCCAGGACGGGGTGTGCCGGCTCAACGCTCGTGGTCTCCAGTACGCCTCCTCGGTCCCGTATATCCTGCGCCAGTGCCACGTGCTGTAGCGCCAGTACGAGTGCACAGCCCCGTACGTCCTGTGCTGATGCCTCACACGTATTGTGTGGAAGTAGGCATTCAGCCAGGACGGGTTGTGTCAGCTCTTCGCTCCAGACCTCCAGTCCGCCTCCACAGTCCGGCCCGGCCCGTTCCGGCTCCCCGCACCAAGCCAGTGGTGCGCGTCGCCAGCCCGGTCCGGCCTGTTCCTGCTCCCCGCACCAAGCCAGTGGTGCGCGTCGTCAGCCCGGTGCGGCCCGTTCCTGCTCCCTGCACCAAGCCAGTGGTGCGCGTCGTCAGCCCGGTCCAGCCCGCTCCTGCTCCCCGCACCAAGGCAGTGGTGCGCGTCGTCAGCCCGGTCCGGCCCGCTCCTGCTCCCCGCACCAAGCCAGTGGTGCGTGTGTCCAGTCCGGCACGGCCCGTGCTCCACTCCGGAGCCAGAGCAATCCGCTCCACCGGGGTCCGGTCCAACTCCTGTCAGCGGATCCACTCCGGAGCCGGAGCAATCCGCTCCACCGGTGCCCAGTCCAGCTCCGGCCAGCGGCTCCAGTCCGGAGCCTGTACAGATCGATCCACCGTCGTCGGGTCGAGCTCCAGTCAGCGGTGCCAGACCAGACCAGGGGCGCAACGGGGAGGTGGAGAGAAAGTGGTGGTCACACCCGGAGCCGGATCCACCTCCGAGAAGGAATGCCCACCCGGCCCCTACCCTGCTGTGTTTGTGTGGCGCGGTCGCAGTCCGCGCCTTTGGGGGGGGGGGTGGGGTACTGTCACGCCCTGGCTCTGGGGACTCTTAAATGTTGTGCCAGGGTGTGGAGTTTCTATGTCATATATTCTATGATGTGTTTTCTAGATCGTGTTGATCTATGTTGGCCAGGGTGGTTCCCAATCAGAGGCAGCTGTATCTCGTTGTCTCTGATTGGGGATCATACTTAGGCAGCCTGTTTGGCACTAGTCGGTGTGGGATCTTGTTCCGTTAAGGTTTGTTTTGTGTAACCTAGGACTTCACGTTTCGTTTGTTTGTTGTTTTGTCGTGAGTTAAGTACTTAATAAAATGTACGCTTATCACGCTGCGCCTTGGTCCGTATCTTCCATAAACGATCGTGACAATATCATATGACCATGATCCTTCCACATGAAAAAAAAATATGTATGGGCTACCATCACAACAACCGATCACAACTCGGTTAGGCTAAATTGGATTACCCCATGAGAAAAATAATAACATTTTTATCTCGATTCTGTATTTTTATATGATTGTAGACTATCTTTATCATTGTGCAACTGCATCATTTTGTCATCGTAAAAAATACCCTCAGACATACAATGTAGTTTGGAATTCAAAATGTATTAAATTATAATTGCATACTAAATTGATATTTCAAACACAGTGTGAGCGCAATCCTCCATCTCCATGGCCATCCTCTGTTCTCCACTCTGTCATCCTCTATCAGCCCCATAGACATTGGTCAGCCCCTCCATCTCCACCAGTCAGAATGGATCACTATTTAATGAAATATCTTGATTTGTAGCGAACTTTTAAATAATTCACAGTGGAGATCAAACTTGATCATAATAAACACATTTTTGAACCCAAACCGTCCGTCAAAAAAATATATGTTTGGCCGTTGTGGCTATCGTAATTTACATAGGCTTTCTAGGCAGACCAGGGATTTTGGCACAACTAGGTTGCTATGCAGTAGCCGACCAGCAGAGCTTGTGACTTTATGCTCCAGACCGGACACTGGGGGCCAGGGTCATATCCCAGTGCTCTGGAATTGGTGTCATGTTATGTCTGGAGTTCTGTAGGTCCTACAAGTACTATCCAATCAGCACATTGCCCCAGTTTTCCCCTTAGAATTCCTCCGCCCACCTTGACATTCAATGTGTTTGGCATTTTGATAGGAAATGGCAACCCACAGACACACCTACACCTACAGGTGTTATCTGAGAGCTCCTCCAACACCTCCAACTGGACCCCTGGTAGACACTGTCTCAGTTGCAGTGACATGATCCTTACTGTGTTTGTCTAGATGTGTGTGTGCGTATTTGAGGAGATGAGTCCGAGGATGATCCCGTTGGTTGTGTTGCGTGACTCCTGCTGCGTGACTCCTCCATACCCAGAGGTTACTTTCCAAATTGAGAAAAGTTAATGAGTTTGACCGAGTGAGCCGCTGCTGCCAGATGGCACTATCAGAGATGGTCTCACACACTGCTCCCACAGTAGGCCCATGATGGCACGCTCTGCAGGGCTAGTCCTTGATCAGTGACCAGTCTACCTGGCTGGACCAGTCTAATGTGTTACAGTGCCATAGCGAGTGGAGGTCAGTGTATGAGAAGGATGCACCACCATTAGTCTGACCGAGGTTTTATCTTCTCGAGATATTCATGCATTGGGCACTGCATTTCAACTCCGAAATATCCTCAACAGGGATGATTCTGGCTTGTGGCCATACTGAACACTAATGGGACAATGTTCAGTATAGTCTCATTGGGCAAGTCTATTGTTCAGTGTTCAGTCAAAGTTAGACCATGTACAGTGATATCATGTCATAGAGCGAACCCAGCTATGTTCAGATAGATTATTGGCGTTGTTGCTATTGCTAACTAGGCTCTAGGTAGTCTGAGCTGAGCGGCCTTACCAGGTTCTTGCTGCTCTTCCAGCAATACATCCCTGGCAGTGGGCCTAATCTTCTCATAATAAAAGTGTGAATCAATTACTGCTATCTCCAGTTGGCATGCCTACACTGACCTCCGTTGTAATGTAAACTCACAGCAATTAACAAATGGCAGCTGTTCTCTATAGATATACAAACAGGGGCATGGATAAGCATGCGCACACAAACACACGTATGCACACACACACACACACACACACACACACACACACACACACACACACACACCTCTTTGTGGGTACAGGCATGCAGATTTACACACGCAGACTTAGAAATGTTCACTAGAGCTTCCAAACAAAATATGTGCCTCACATACAGTAAAAGCATAGACGTTAAATGTGACTAAATCCTCAGGTTGCAATGGTAAGAAAGAAACACAAGTGAGGCGTAAACTCTAACATACTGTATATGGAAGGAAACCCAGGGTCCACTCTTTAGCATGTTGTTTATGTTGTACGGTGGATGTTGTGGTTAAGGAAGGTTAAGAGCCAGTGCAATGTATAATTCATGTTCACATACATTATAGAAGGGCCTTGTAATATCCTGAGTGGGAAATTAACCTGCTGGTACTTACGTGCAGCCAGGTGCTGTTCAGGGATCAACCAGCGAGGGTTTGTGTTGTGTTGTTTTCTGTTGCGTTGTGTTGTGTCGTGTTATATTCTCTCACCCACTCACACTCATCCCTGGCCCTATCAATGGCTGAGGTACTGAGACAGCCCACAGGCTATCCAACCAAAATGACTGACTAATATAGAGAATCTCAACAAAGAGTTGTGGAGCAGGTTTAAAACAGCCACTAATCTCCCTGCAGCCTCCCACCCACCAAAACTCCCCCTCGGATCCAAAACCCGTCATTTACTGAATGAATGTGGTTGCTGTTTTTGATGCAACCCTTTCTATTGGTATTGTATCATTTCATGTTGATTTGATGTTATCCTCTTATATAATGCCCTATATTTGGGTCATCCTCTTGACTTGAGATGTTAACAAAATGCTTTTAATTTTCATGGAGATTACAGGATGTCTCTTTAGAGACTGCTCTTATCAAGTTGCTCTGAACAGCGATTTTGTGATTCCTTCCACATGGTCTTATAATAGCCCTTTTAGATCTGTTTGCTTCATGAGAAATGAAGTGTTGCCTGCGAGAGGTAATAATGTGAATAGATTCTGAGTGGATAGTAAGGACATTCCATGTGATGAATGAAGGACATCCATGGCCAGTAGAATCCTGTCTGTATATCCTCCCAGCAGAGAGAGAAAGGGTGAGGGGTTTGTTTGAGGATACACAGAACACACAGGTTATTAATAAGAGGGCTCTCTCTCAACCACACCCACACTTCTGTTTGACTATGAAGGATCCCTAGGTTAATATTATCTGCATGATGAGGAGCAGCAGCTGACCCCTGTCATCCCCTACGGCGATCCCAGCACAGCCCTCCTTTCCTGGGAATCATCTCCTCTACGCAGTAATAATCAGAGATGCCGAGCACACTCGCATGCGTACACACACACGCATACACACACAAACCGATACAGCCATCCAAGCATCATGTGACTCCTCCGTCACATACACAGAGCGGTTGAAGACTGGGGATGGAGGAGAGACAAAGAGACATGGAGGCCTGAAGTAGACTTTAAGACGTAATATATTCATAACCATCACCAGTTACTTAAACCTCACTGCAGGCATCCAAGCAACTTCGTAAACCCCAGTAATGAAATATTACATTGGCTTCAGAAGTAAGGAGATGTCAAAGTGGATGAAGCTTGGCAAGTCAGGGGACTACTGAATAGTTGTGTCATGAGAGGTTGTCACACCCTGGCTCGGGGACTCATTATGTTGAGCCAGGGTGTGTTCATTCTATGTTTTCTGTTTCTTTGGTGGGTGTTCTAGGTTGTCTATTTTCTATGTTTGCCGGTGTGACTCCCAATCAGAGGCAACGAGTGTCAGCTGTCGGCTGGTTGTCTCTGATTGGGAGCCATATTTAATCTGTCTGTTTTTCTTTCGGGTTGTGGGATTTTGTTCGTGTGTGTTCGTGTTGTACCATAGACGTCACGCATTCGTTGTTTATTGTTTTGTTCGTGTGAGCATTTAATAAATAGAATATGTTCACTCGCAACGCTGCGCCTTGGTCTCCCTCATTAGACGATCGTGACAGAAAATCCCACCAGTACCAGACCAAGCAGCGTGAGGAGGAGAGAGGAAGGACCTGGGATCAGTGGAGTAGGAGTTTCGGCTGGGCCCCGCTAAGTGAAGAGAAGAGAGGCTGGTCTATGGAGCAATGGATCAAGAGCTTCGACTGGGTCAAGCCCATTGAGGAGCTGAGTGACGAGGGTTGGAGACAGAGGAGCGAGAGGTGGGCGAGAACGATGGAGGCCTGGCCCACGGGGAGGAGAGATCCCCAGAAATTTTTTAGGGGGGGCTCACGACGTGGACGACGGGGCAGCAGGAGGCCGCGAGGGAGCGGTCCAGCGGGTGTGAAGAGGAGGCCGCCAGGTTAAGGGGGCCACTGGTCACAGAGGAGAGGGAAAGTGTGGAGGCACGGCGGGAGGTACTGGGGTGTGTTGCCAGTCCGGTCCGGCCCGTTCCTGATCCCTGCGTAGGGCCAGTGGTGTGTGTCCCCAGTACGGTCCGGCCTGTTCCTGTTCCTCGCATCGAGCCTGTGGTGCGTGTCGTCAGCCCGGCCCGGCCTGTTCCTGCTTCCCGCACCGAGCCTATGGTGCGCGTCGCCAGCCCGGCCCGGCCTGTTCCTGCTCCCTGCACCAAACCTGTGGTGCGCGTCGCCAGCCCGGTCCGCCCCGTTCCTGCTCTCCGCACCAAGTCTGTGGTGCGCGTCGCCAGCCCGGCCCGGCCTGTTCCTGCTCCCCGCACCAAACCTGTGGTGCGCGTCGCCAGCCCGGTCCGGCCCGTTCCTGCTCTCCGCACCAAGTCTGTGGTGCGCGTCGCCAGCCCGGCCCGGCCTGTTCCTGCTCCCCGCACCAAACCTGTGGTGCGCGTCGCCAGCCCGGCCCGGCCTGTTCCTGCTCCCCGCACCAAGTCTGTGGTGCGTTTCGTCAGCCCTGTCCGGCTCGTTCCTGCTCTCCGCACCAAGTCTGTGGTGCGCGTCGCCAGCCCATTCCGGTCCATTCCTGCTCCACGCATCAAGCCAGGGGTGTGTATCGTCAGCCCGGTCCGGTCCGTTCCTGTTCCACGCACCAAGCCAGGGGCGCGTGTCGTCAGTCCGGCTCCGGCCAGCGGGGCTAGACAGGACCAGGGGTACTTTGGGGGGTTGGAGAGGAAGTGGGGATCAAGCCCGGAGCCGGAGCCGCCGCCGAGGAGGAATGCCCACCCAGCCCTCCCCTGTTTTTGCTCGTATTTAGGCGCGGTCGCAGTCCGCGCCCTTTGGGGGGGGGGTACTGTCACACCCTGGCTCGGGGACTCATTATGTTGAGCCAGGGTGTGTTCATTCTATGTTTTCTGTTTCTTTGGTGGGTGTTCTAGGTTGTCTATTTTCTATGTTTGCCGGTGTGACTCCCAATCAGAGGCAACGAGTGTCAGCTGTCGGCTGGTTGTCTCTGATTGGGAGCCATATTTAATCTGTCTGTTTTTCTTTCGGGTTGTGGGATTTTGTTTGTGTGTGTTCGTGTTGTACCATAGACGTCACGCATTCGTTGTTTATTGTTTTGTTCGTGTGAGCATTTAATAAATAGAATATGTTCACTCGCAACGCTGCGCCTTGGTCTCCCTCATTAGACGATCGTGACAGAAAATCCCACCAGTACCAGACCAAGCAGCGTGAGGAGGAGAGAGGAAGGACCTGGGATCAGTGGAGTAGGAGTTTCGGCTGGGCCCCCGCTAAGTGAAGAGAAGAGAGGCTGGTCTATGGAGCAATGGATCAAGAGCTTCGACTGGGTCAAGCCCATTGAGGAGCTGAGTGACGAGGGTTGGAGACAGAGGAGCGAGAGGTGGGCGAGAACGATGGAGGCCTGGCCCACGGGGAGGAGAGACCCCCAGAAAATTTTTAGGGGGGGGCTCACGACGTGGACGACGGGGCAGCAGGAGGCCGCGAGGGAGCGGTCCAGCGGGTGTGAAGAGGAGGCCGCCAGGTTAAGGGGGCCACTGGTCACAGAGGAGAGGGAAAGTGTGGAGGCACGGCGGGAGGTACTGGGGTGTGTTGCCAGTCCGGTCCGGCCCGTTCCTGATCCCTGCGTAGAGCCAGGGTGTGTTCATTCTACGTTTTCTGTTTCTTTGGTGGGTGTTCTAGGTTGTCTATTTTCTATGTTTGCCGGTGTGACTCCCAATCAGAGGCAACGAGTGTCAGCTGTCGGCTGGTTGTCTCTGATTGGGAGCCATATTTAATCTGTCTGTTTTTCTTTCGGGTTGTGGGATTTTGTTCGTGTGTGTTCGTGTTGTACCATAGACGTCACGCATTCGTTGTTTATTGTTTTGTTCGTGTGAGCATTTAATAAATAGAATATGTTCACTCGCAACGCTGCGCCTTGGTCTCCCTCATTAGACGATCGTGACAGAGGTCTTTGAGCCAGAGGGGGTTAGCCCAATGACTCCCTTTGATTGACAGCTGCCGGCAGCACTACAGCCAATGATGGGACAGGATAATCTCAGAGAGTGACAGGTTAACGCTAACTTAACGTAGCATGCGTAAAATAATCGCCTGAGCGGGGTCAGAAGAAACCGGAAGCATACGGTTTTCAGGCTTCGCCTCTTCTCTGCTTTTCTCCTGAAAACTAGATGCTTCCGGTTTCTACCGACCCCTGCTGACAGTGTGTTAACGCAGCATAATCATCTGGAATGTAGTTCACGTCGTCGACAAACATTTTAACATTTCTGACTGTTGTTGATCGAGCAGCACTGAGACATCCTGAGTTTCTGAACATGCTGTGTAACGATTGATGTGTTTTTCTTCCTAGTTTTATCAAAAATAATGACTTATGAAAGGAATGGTGGAGGGGAGGGAGAGAGGGAGGCAGGCGCTTGTTCTGAGCCGTGTTTTATTGTGGTCTACTCAGTGACTCACACATTGGCTTTTGTTCAGCGCTGTTTGAACCTCCCCAGCACCCCTTCTGTGCTTTTATCAGCCGCTGACAATGGCTAATTATTGTTTAAATAAAAACGGAAATGTTTTTTAAGGATTTGAAATGGTTGAATATTTTGCTACTAACTAGCTCTAGTGACCTGAGTGCATTAGTGAATAATGCTCCAGGTAATAGTAGTCTTTTTTACTACACTACAGTTACCTGCAATGCTACTGTACAATATCGTTTGTCTGCACACTCTCTAAAAAGTCATTAATCTTCTCGTTCCCCAGCTCCAATTCCCCCTCTCCTCTCCATACTGAGTGTATTAGAGCTGTGCAGCACCAGCACATACACACATGATAATACACAGGCACAGACACAGATACACATGATAAGACACTCACTCCACACACACGTATACATGGATTTTGTATTGTAGATATGTGATAGTAGAGTAATGGCCTGAGGGAACACACTTAATGTGTTGTGAAAAGTGTTATGAAATGTAATGTCATGTAATATTTTCAATTGTATATAACTGCCTTAACGTTGCTGGACCCCAGGAAGAGTAGCTGCCTACTTGGCTAAATGAATCTGCTTTGGCAGCAGCTAATGAGGATCCTTAATAAATACAAATACAAATACAAATACCAATCCCACCAGGGGAACACAGTGTAGGGAAATAGTAATGCAGAGAGAAACAGGACCCAAATGTACAGGAATGAAAATACCTCTAGTCCATGTTCTATTTCCAGATTATTGTGGGAACTGACAATCAAATAGTAATCCAAGGATTGTGAAGGTTTGAAACATATTGTGAGATTACAGCGTAATGCTGCTGCTTACCCAATCAAACCCTTCCCTGTTCAGCACTTACATACAGTAGAACATAATACAGTAACCATGGATAGAAACACAGGATCCATGCTCTTAAATGTTGGAGCTTTGTGGAATGTACTGAGTGACAGTGTACTACTCTTCTCTGGTTTCAAGCCCACTAATACTATATTGTGGATACAGAGTTACCTGTCTAACAGAACACAAAGGGTGTTCTTTATTGGAAGCCTCTCCAACATAATCCAGGTAGAATCAGGAATTCCCCAGGGCAGCTGTCTAGGCCCATTACTTTTTTCAATCTTTACTAATGACATGCCACTGGCTTTGAGTAAAGCCAGAGTGTCTATGTATGCGGATGTCTCAACACTATACATGTCAGCTACTACAGCGACTGAAATGACTGCAACACTTAACAAAGAGTTGCAGTTAGTTTCGGAGTGGGTGGCAAGGAATAGGTTAGTCCTAAATATTTCTAAAACTAAAAGCATTGTATTTGGGACAAATCATTCACCAAACCCTAAACCTCAACTAAATCTTGTAATAAATAATGTGGAAATTGAGCAAGTTGAGGTGACTAAACTGCTTGGAGTAACCGTGGATTGTAAACTGTCATGGTCAAAACATATTGATACAACAGTAGCTAAGATGGTGAGAAGTATGTCCATAATAAAGCGCTGCTCTACCTTCTTAACAGCACTATCAACAAGACAGGTCCTACAGGCCCTAGTTTTGTCACACCTGGACTACTGTTCAGTCGTGTGGTCAAGTGCCACAAAAAAGGACTTAGGAAAATTGCAATTGGCTCAGAACAGGACAGCACGGTTGGCCCTTGGATGTACACAGAGAGCTAATATTAATAATATTCATGTCAATCTCTCCTGGCTCAAAGTGGAGGAGAGATTGACTTCATCACTACTTGGGTTTATGAGAGGTGTTGACATGTTGGGTGCACCAAGCTGTCTGTTTGAGCTACTGGCGCACAGCTCGGTCACCCATGCATACCCCACAAGTCATGCCACCAGAGGTCTCTTCACAGTCCCCAAGTCTAGAACAGACTATGGGAGGCGCACAGTACTACATAGAGCAATGACTACATGGAACTCTATTCCACATCAAGTAACTGATGCAAGTAGTGGAACAGCGGGGACTGTGAAGCAACACAAACATAGGCACAGACACATGCATACACACACATGATAACATAAGCACTATACACACACGTACACATGGATTTTTTTACTGTAGATATGTGGTAGTGGTGGTGTAGGGTCCTGAGGGCACACAGTGTGTTGTGAAATCTGTGAATGTATTGTAATGTTTTAAAAATTGTATGAACTGCCTGGTGGAAAATAAGTATTTGGTCACCTACAAACAAGCAAGATTTCTGGCTCTCACAGACCTGTAACTTCTTCTTTAAGAGGCTCCTCTGTCCTCCACTCGTTACCTGTATTAATGGCACCTGTTTGAACTTGTTATCAGTATAAAAGACACCTGTCCACAACCTCAAACAGTCACACTCCAAACTCCACTATGGCCAAGACCAAAGAGCTGTCAAAGGACACCAGAAACAAAATTGTAGACCTGCACCAGGCTGGGAAGACTGAATCTGCAATAGGTAAGCAGCTTGGTTTGAAGAAATCAACTGTGGGAGCAATTATTAGGAAATTGAAGACATACAAGACCACTGATAATCTCCCTCAATCTGGGGCTCCATGCAAGATCTCACCCCGTGGGGTCAAAATGATCACAAGAACGGTGAGCAAAAATCCCAGAACCACACGGGGGGACCTAGTGAATGACCTGCAGAGAGCTGGGACCAAAGTAACAAAGCCTACCATCAGTAACACACTACGCCGCCAGGGACTAAAACCCTGCAGTGCCAGACGTGTCCCCCTGCTTAAGCCAGTACATGTCCAGGCCCGTCTGAAGTTTGCTAGAGTGCATTTGGATGATCCAGAAGAGGTATGGGAGAATGTCATATGGTCAGATGAAACCAAAATAGAACTTTTTGGTAAAAACTCAACTCGTCGTGTTTGGAGGACAAAGAATGCTGAGTTGCATCCAAAGAACACCATACCTACTGTGAAGCATGGGGGTGGAAACATCATGCTTTGGGGCTGTTTTTCTGCAAAGGGACCAGGACGACTGATCCGTGTAAAGGAAAGAATGAATGGGGCCATGTATCGTGAGATTTTGAGTGAAAACCTCCTTCCATCAGCAAGGGCATTGAAGATTAAACGTGGCTGGGTCTTTCAGCATGACAATGATCCCAAACACACCGCCCGGGCAACGAAGGAGTGGCTTCGTAAGAAGCATTTCAAGGTCCTGGAGTGGCCTAGCCAGTCTCCAGATCTCAACCCCATAGAAAATTTTGGAGGGAGTTGAAAGTCCGTGTTGCCCAGCGACAGCCCCAAAACATCACTGCTCTAGAGGAGATCTGCATGGAGGAATGGGCCAAAATACCAGCAACAGTGTGTGAAAACCTTGTGAAGACTTACAGAAAACGTTTGACCTGTGTCATTGCCAACAAAGGGTATATAACAAAGTATTGAGAAACTTTTGTTATTGACCAAATACTTATTTTCCACCATAATTTGCAAATAAATTCATTAAAAATCCTACAATGTGATTTTCTGGATTTCTTTTTCTCATTTTGTCTGTCATAGTTGACGTGTACCTATGATGAAAATTACAGGCCTCTCTCATCTTTTTAAGTGGGAGAACTTGCACAATTGGTGGCTGACTAAATACTTTTTTCCCCCACTGTATATGGAATCATGTAGTAACCACAAAAGTGTTAAACAAACAAAATATATTTTATATTTGAGATTCTTCAAATAGCCACCCTTTGCCTTGATGACAGCTTTGCACACTCTTGGCATTCTCTCAACCAGCCTCACCTGGGATGCTTTCCCAACAGTCTTAAAGGAGTTCCCACATTTGCTGAGCACTTTTGGCTGCTTTTCATTCACTCTGCGTTCCGACTCATCCCAAACCATCTCAATTTGGTTGAAGTCGGGGGATTGTGGAGGCCAGGTCATCTGATGCAGCACTCCATCACTCTCCTTCTTGGTAAAATATCCTTTACACAGCCTGGACGTGTGTTGGGTCATTGTCCTGTTGAAAAACAAATGATAGTCCCACTAAGCCCAAACCAGATGGGATGGCGTATTGCTGCAGAATGCTGTGGTAGCCATGTTGGTTAAGTGTGCCTTGAATTCTAAATAAATCACAGACAGTGTCAACAGAAAAGCACCCCCACACCATAACACCTCCTCCTCCATGCTTTACGGTGGGAAGTACACATGCAGAGATCATCCGTTCACCCACACGCATCTCACAAAGACACGGCAGTTGGAACCAAAAATCTCCAGACCAAAGGACAAATTTCTACTACATGATTCCATATGTGTTATTTATACAGTGAGGGAAAAAAGTATTTGATCCCCTGCTGATTTTGTACGTTTGCCCACTGACAAAGACATGATCAGTCTATAATTTTAATGGTAGGTTTATTTGAACAGTGAGAGACAGAATAACAACAAAAAAATCCAGAAAAACGCATGTCAAAAATGTTATAAATTGATTGCATTTTAATGAGGGAAATAAGTATTTGACCCCTCTGTAAAACATGACTTAGTACTTGGTGGCAAAACCCTTGTTGGCAATCACAGAGGTCAGACGTTTCTTGTAGTTGGCCACCAGGTTTGCACACATCTCAGGAGGGATTTTGTCCCACTCCTCTTTGCAGATCTTCTCCAAGTCATTAAGGTTTCGAGCCTGACGTTTTGCAACTCGAACCTTCAGCTCCCTCCACAGATTTCTATGGGATTAAGGTCTGGAGACTGGCTAGGCCACTCCAGGACCTTAATGTGCTTCTTCTTGAGCCACTCCTTTGTTGCCTTGGCCGTGTGTTTTGGGTCATTGTCATGCTGGAATACCCATCCACGACCCATTTTCAATGTCCTGGCTGAGGGAAGGAGGTTCTCACCCAAGATTTGACGGTACATGGCCCCGTCCATCGTCCCTTTGATGCGGTGAAGTTGTCCTGTCCCCTTAGCAGAAAAACACCCCCAAAGCATAATGTTTCCACCTCCATGTTTGACGGTGGGGATGGTGTTCTTGGGGTCATAGGCAGCATTCCTCCTCCTCCAAACACGGCGAGTTGAGTTGATGCCAAAGAGCTCGATTTTGGTCTCATCTGACCACAACACTTTCACCCAGTTCTCCTCTGAATCATTCAGATGTTCATTGGCAAACTTCAGACGGGCCTGTATATGTGCTTTCTTGAGCAGGGGGACCTTGCGGGCGCTGCAGGATTTCAGTCCTTCACGGCGTAGTGTGTTACCAATTGTTTTCTTGGTGACTATGGTCCCAGCTGCCTTGAGATCATTGACAAGATCCTCCCGTGTAGTTCTGGGCTGATTCCTCACCGTTCTCATGATCATTGCAACTCCACAAGGTGAGATCTTGCATGGAGCCCCAGGCCGAGGGAGATTGACAGTTATTTTGTTTTGTTTTTTTGCGAATAATCGCACCAACTGTTGTCACCTTCTCACCAAGCTGCTTGGCGATGGTCTTGTGGCCCATTCCAGCCTTGTGTAGGCCTACAATCTTGTCCCTGACATCCTTGGAGAGCTCTTTGGTCTTGGCCATGGTGGAGAGTTTGGAATCTGATTGATTGATTGCTTCTGTGGACAGGTGTCTTTTATACAGGTAACAAGCTGAGATTAGGAGCACTCCCTTTAAGAGTGTGCTCCTAATCTCAGCTCGTTACCTGTATAAAAGACACCTGGGAGCCAGAAATCTTTCTGATTGAAAGGGGGTCAAATACTTATTTCCCTCATTAAAATGCAAATCAATTTATAACATTTTTGACATGCGTTTTTCTGGATTTTTGTTGTTGTTATTCTGTCTCTCACTGTTCAAATAAACCTACCATTAAAATTATAGACTGATCATTTATTTGTCAGTGGGCAAACGTACAAAATCAGCAGGGGATCAAATACTTTTTTCCCTCACTGTAGTTTTGATGTCTTCACTATTATTCTACAATGTAGAAAATACTAAAAAGAAAGAAAAACCCTTGAATGAGTAGGTGTTCTAGAACTTTTGACCAGTAGTGTATAAACTGAAGTAGATCAAGCAGCCTGAGCAGCATCCATCCAACAGTGCCCACACTGTCTCAAATAGAGAAAGCGGCCCCTGCAGTGTATGTAAATATATGTATGTAAATGGCTATTGTAAATAATCATTTGCAAGGTTAATATTGCTGTTAAGTGCACTGTTTGTGCTGCAAGAATAATGTGAAATGTATGAGAATAATTCATGCACATATTTGAGTTAGGTGATTATATTTTCAAAGGACCATGGTTTGCCTAATCATTCGCTGTAAGCTCTTTCTCTCTATTGTTCACTGGCTAATTCCCTGCCAAGACAAACCTGAGGAACGTGTTCCGTTTATTACACTGAATATTGCAGTCGGGGAGGCAAATCATTCATTTTCATACCCCGGTCAATCTAACAGGGTCCATAGAGATGCTTATTAAGATGATACAGATGTATGCACACATTAACCACTGTGTAATGGACAGTTTCACACTGTATTAAGGTGTTTTGTCTGGGATGTCGTGTCTGTGCAAGAGTACAGTTCCACTCAGTTAGGATAGTGCCGGTGGATATTTATAGTAAACACAGTGTATATGAGAGGTGAAGGACGAATTTGGTGTCACTCCGGTCAATGTTGTGGCTACCTGAAACAGTAGTGGAGGAATGACCAAAGCCTCTGGCATAGTAACAAATGCAGAGGGAGGTGACACCTGTCCAGACATTCCTCATGGAGGTAGAACAGATAGCTGCTGTCAAGCATGTGTTTGACACTCGTATCAAGCACACAGCACAGTTGTCCTTTTAGCCTCAAGGCAAACAGCCCCTAGTCCTACCTGCTCAGTCAGGCATGTCCTGTCTCTCTCAGTGTCTGATTGGAGAAACCAGTAGGAGGGAATAGCACAGGTTGATGGCCTGGTCAGACTCAGAGCAGCCCTGATGGAGCCTTTAGTAGAGGCATGGTTCAGACAGGAGTAGTAAAGTGGGCTACAGCTGAGTGAGGAGATGAGGTCTTCTCTCTTCATGAAGGTGGCTAATGGAACAGGCATTCACTGTCTACTGGTGGGGCTATGACGGGAGACAGGAAATTATGACAATAATAACAATACAATGGGATTGTCAACAGGCCAGGGGTATGGCTGTGGCGGTCATGACATTTTGTCAGCCGGTTATTATCTAACTGCCGGTCTCACGGTAATTGACCGTTAATGAACATAAACACATTTAGCATCTCCTGGCTTCCACGCATAGCCTACAAGCCACTGATGCAGACTTTTGGAACATCTCCATTTAAAAAAAGTATAATAAATCCATGTAATATAGCCTACACCATCACAATAAATCCACGTCTAAAGAAACATGATTTGAAGAAAATGTAGTCTATTTCAGAAGAACATAATAGCATACTCTGAGTTGTCCTTATGTTAGGCCCTGATCTGGCTATGCCATACGGCTGTGGGCTACACTAGTTCATTTAGCAGACAACATTTGCTTAGAATTCCATGGCATTATTTTATATTATTTTATAGTATGAAGAATACAATTGAACATAGCTGAATAAAATAGAAAGGATATTTTCTCCAAATGATTTGAGGGAGTGTGCACATGCAGCTATTCTGTGTTGAGCGGTTAACAAAGAAACAGGTACTCCTATATGCTTAATTTAGAGTTATTTACACTACCATTCAAAAGTTTGGGGTCACTTTGAAATGTCCTTTTTTGTCCATTAAAATAACATCAAATTGATCAGAAATACAGTGTAGACATTGTTAATGTTGTAAATGGCTATTGTAGCTGGAAATGGCTGATTTTTTTATGGAATACCTACATAGGCGTACAGAGGCCCATTATCAGCAACCATCAGTCCTGTGTTCCAATGGCACGTTGTGTTTGCTAATCCAAGTTTATCATTTTAAAAGGCTAATTGATCATTAGAAAACCATTTTGCAATTATGTTAGCACAGCTGAAAACTGTTGTGCTGATTAAAGAAGCAATACAACTGGCCTTCTTGAGACTAGTTGAGTATCTGGAGCATCAGCAATTGTGGGTGCGATTACAGGCTCAAAATGGCCAGAAACAAATAACTTTCTTCTGAAACTTGTCAGTCTATTCTTGTTCTGAGAAATGAAGGCTATTCCATGCGAGAAATTGGCAAGAAACTGAAGATCTCGTACAACGCTGTGTACTACTCCCTTCACAGAACAGCGCAAACTGGTTCTAACCAGAATAGAAAGAGGAGTGGGAGGCCCCGGTGCACAACTGAGCAAGAGGACAAATACATTAGAGTGTCTAGTTTGAGAAACAGACGCCTCACAGGTCCTCAACTGGCAGCTTCATTAAATAGTACCCGCAAAACACCAGTCTCAACGTCAACAGTGAAGAGGCGACTCCGGGATGCTGACCTTCTAGGCAGAGTTGAAAAAAAAAAGCCATATCTCAGACTGGCCAATAAAAAGAAAATATTAAGATGGGCAGTCTGAGATATGGCTTTTTCTTTGCTGATAATGGGCCTCTGTACGCCTATGTAGATATTCCATAAAAAATCAGCCGTTTCCAGCTACAATAGCCATTTACAACATTAACAATGTCTACACTGTATTTCGAATCAATTTTATGTTATTTTAATGGACAGAAAAATTGCTTTTCTTTCGAAAACAAGGACATTTCTAAGTGACCCCAAACTTTTGAACGGTAGTGTATGTAACTTTAGTTGTGATACAAATGTTGGGCTATATGTTTTGATTTTTAATGATGATTTGAAAAAAGTAGCATGAAAGGCATGAGCTCTGCTTTGTTTTTTGCACAGGCTGCTCAAATATCCTGGCTGCATCCTCTTTGTGTGGCCGTAATGCCCCCTAAAATAATCCATGCCTTTTTCGGCCAGTGGCGGTTGTGCCCTTGGGCTGAACATAATCATTATAATTCCCTTCTCCCGGCTGCCTGCCGAAGCACCTCTCACTCACATGGCTCTCCATCACGTGATCAGGTCTTTCTCATAGGCTACAAGTGAAGACAGACACATCGGGGACGCAACTGCGCACGTCCTTATCCAATTCCGAGGCGCATATTGAAGATATTGGAAGAACTGTCCACATTTACTTTTCGTCAGCCAACAAGATGAGTAGGCCTAACTAACAGCAAAAGCACTAGCCTATGTCAATCTACTATCCCCCATGTACAAAAGTTGACCTATTCTGTGCGATAAATAAATATTCCAAACATAGTCTGGGACGGTTGTGGGATGTGATAGATCCCAAATTAATAGAACCACTAGTATCAAAAAACCTGTTTTAAGCAATGATCCTGACGCAACAGATGAGAACGTTTAGTTTAAAATGTTAATAAACTGAACAATTAATCAAATGGCCACCCGGACTATTTACATTGACCCCCCCCCCCCCCCCCCCCCCCACTATGCATAGTCACTTTACCCCTACCTACATGTACAAATTACCTCGACTAACCTGTACCCCGCACATTGACTCGGTACCGGTCGTTACTGTTATGTAATCTTATTGTGTTACTTTTTATTTTATTTTTTACTTTAGTTTTGCAAATATTTTCTTAACTCTATTTCTTGAACTGCTATGTTGGTTAAGGGCTTGTAAGTAAGCATTTCACTGTTGTATTTGGCGCATGTGACAAATTTGATTTGATTTGACCTATTAGGCTATTTCTTCACCTTATAAGCGCAGCAATGCGCACACGGCAGTAGGCTATAAGCGCAAATGTTCCATTGGCAGGAAAACACCATTCTCAAAAGTGAACACAAATGCGATTATGCATGTAATGCTTTTATTGTAAAGGTGCATTTTTATGGTGAAACTTGACACTCACACGCTGCGTATGTTTTCCTATTAGGTTCTACACCCATTGTAAAGCGGATTAATGTGCTTCATTTTAAGAAGTTATTTGGCCACTTTAGTTGTGATACAAACCTTACCAAAACATATAGCCCTATGGGCTAGGCTACATGAGGTGTGTGACTATGATTAGAAAAAGTCGCCCAAAAAAGCATGCGCTGTTTCTTGCCTTAAGCTGGGCATCATTCACAAGTGATAATAAATAATTCACAAGTGATAGGCTAATATTGTCACCCATCAGACTAGTCTTGATTTAATCTTGTCTTTACATATACTAAATAATATATATGTGAAATTAGTTTTGATTTAGAATGGACCATTATCATGCACCTGTCTCAGAACAGGGGCAGGGGGAAAAAATACCTGTCATCTATACACTTAAATAGCGAATGGAGGACGCTTTTCCTGTGGTTCATTTTCATGCCAGCCGGGTAGGCTATACTTCTGTTGTAAAGAGAAGCAATGTGCTTAATATTAGGAAAGTAGAGAAATAAATATAGTAAGCCTAGCCTATAGAAAGCTGATGGGATCCTCCTCGTTTGAATAGAGGCCATCACTCTGTTTTCTCACACAGTTGCATAACCTATAGAAATGTTGCGCAACATGAGCTCATGGGCTCTCATTAAGTGTTTGATTAGATTTTCGATCACATTTGCATTGATGTCAGAGTGATTAGAGGGACAATAGAGTGCTGAGTACCAGGCAGTTAGCAAGTTTGGTAGGCTACTAATGACCATCAGCAGCATCAGAGCTTGGAGAAGCCTAATTACAGTGACTAAACGGTCACGTGGAATTTGACTGCAGTGATGACTCGTGACAACCGGTGTGACAGTAATACGGTCACCATAACAGCCCTAGCCAGGGGACATTATGGCCAGTACAGTACAAACTATTTATTTTTGGCTTATTCTTCAATAGTGTATACAAAAAGATAACCTCTCAGGCTTGTCCCTCACGTGTGCCTAGCAAAATTCCGGGAACTTTTAATACATTCCCTGTTTTCCCTGAAATCCCAGTTGGAGGATTCCTGGAATCAGGAGGGAACAAGCAGGAAATCCAGAATCCTCCAACCAGGATTTCTGGAAAGCCAGGTAATTTATTGAAAGTTCCCAGAATTTGTCAAGCCTACTTGTGCCTGTGCATTGTGTGAGAAGAAACAACCAAACATAAATCAATTCACGCTTTGCATGTCTTTACAGTAAACCAAACTGACGAAGACATGCCGTGTAGCCTCTTTTCTCCTAATGATGTCGCTGCCAACAGGCTTGTCCGAACCGAAATGTCTCTGGGAAAAATAAAGAAGATTCTCAAGGCTTTGCCTTGCCTTCATTTCATACCGACTTTGAGGCAAGCAGGGAACCTAAAATAGGAGCTATTATGCAGCTCAAAGTGGGGGAGTAATGGCAGGATGATGATGGAGGATCAATGGGAAAGTGTATTTGAGGGAATTATGGTTCTGATTGCTTGTGCTTAAATCACCCTCTGTTCGGTTCCCACAGTATCTAGAGAATCTCTGAGTGCTCACCATGTGTCTGTCTCTCTTATGTTAAGCCATGTTGACTAGCTCAGTTCCAACTGCTCCACTATTGCCTGTGTAGATGCATACACTCTCTACAATGCTGGTGGTGACAATGACAATTTCCTTAAAGTAGCCTACTTACCTGTACATATAGTTCTACATTATCATTATCATACACATAGAATGATATCACATCTAGTTAAACTGACCTGAAATACTCTCCAGTGTAGGGAGGAATACATAATGACTGCATGTACGATAACCATAGGGAATACGGTTATTCACAGCAATTTTGTAATTAGCTGACTCTTGTTTTGTTTCATCTTCCACATTAGCAACCTTGGTACGTTATGTCTGGCTAGGACATGATTGTATGATACTATCACACTAAGAGGGGGACATTTAGACCCTCTCAACCACAAACCACATATTTATTTCATAGCTAAAGCTTGGGATCATACTTATCACAGTTAGTACTACAGATTACTCTAATAGCACAGATAGGACTGCAGATCATCTGAACAGCACATAACTGCCTGGGACGCATACTTCGACGTGTCTGGCTGCTCTGCTCTACAGAGCGATCAAAGGCGGCAGCTGGCCTCACCTGCTACAAATAAGAAAGCCTGTATAGGTAAACAGATGAATACGCGGATTTAGTGGGCAAGAAGGCTGTGAAAGATTGCTCTCTCCAGGAAACTACCTCCTTATGCCATTTACAATACAGAGCTGCTGCCCAGTGCGTCTCTTCACAGCCAGAGTCGACAGTGACCGATGGACTGTCCCTTCCTCTCTTATCTGGGCCTCTGCAGCCCAATGCCGTCTGGCTACAGGCCTGGGGAGGCCCTCACACACACACACACACACACACACACACTTTCTCTGTTTACCCACAGCTCCCCTACTCCCTCACACCGGAGAGGACTTGCCCGTTAAGTTTTTAAATATTTATTTTCTATCGTCATGCAACATCACAAAGTGCCAAGTCAATCTCCTGGTTCCGTTTACACCACCAATGTGTGGCACCTATCTGTGTAATGCACAACAAGTATGCATGCCAGAACGCACTGCGGCATTCAGGCCATGCCAATGCCCATGGCCATCTTAGATCAGAGGAAGGATAGTGGCCAAAACGGTCCAAAACTACTTCCAGGAGCCATCTGATTTTTACAGGTGGTCTTCCCAGGTACCAACTAGCCCGTACCCTGCTTAAGGGCAGGGCTGGAAGTGTTTTGGCTGCTGATTTCTGCTGCTGGTAAAGCTTCTTTCCAGACATACAAACATCGTGCATCGTTCTGAACCATGATAGATATTCAAGAATGTTCAAGAAGCTAGTGCGAAAATATAACTCAGTATGACAAGACCATTCCTTTGTTGTGGTGGCGCTTACTGGGCTCAAATAAAAGCTGTAAACAAACCCAGTTAGTCGATTCCTTATAAAATGGAGGCCCAGTTCAGCGTCTTTGTGTTCTGTGTTCTGTGGTGCTTGCCTTGGTGAATGTGTTTGTGTATTAGGAGATACTGTGCCAATTCCTGTCTTGATTCTCTGTGTGGTTTCCTTGGTTTCCTGCTCTTGTTTATTGCTCTGTCCCTAAGCTCCCAGAGGGCTGTGAGGTGTATGTCAGTGGAAAGGCACAGAGCTAAAGAACACAACTGAAGCTTGTGTTCCAGATAGATTTTGTTATAGTCTTATCAAACCACTGTCTCTCACCCGCTCTGTAGCCCTGCCAGCTTGAGTCCTGAGACTGTCACTCCTCATTTAACTCTATCTCTCTATCACCCATGGCTTCAGCTTAGATAGAGCCTGCTGTGCGTATGAGTGTGTGTGCGTGTGCATGTGCGTGTACGTATGAGTGAGCTTGTGCATGTGTTGCTGTGGGTTTTCCTCTCTGAAAAGAAGGTGTTGAGTTGAGCCTTATTACTGCAGTCTTTCTACTCCTCTCCCCTTTAAGTTGGTCACAATGTTTCACACCCTACTCCTCTCCCCTTTAAGTTGGTCACAATGTTTCACACCCTACTCCTCTCCCCTTTAAGTTGGTCACAATGTTTCACACCCTACTCCTCTCCCTCTTTCTGATAGCGACTCTCACGACTTCCACTGTCTCCGTCACTCATTCTCTCCTTCTTTCTCCCCCTCTCTATACCCTTCTACTTCTCCCTCTACATTCTCCTTCTCTCTTTTCCTCCTCTCTGTTTTTACTTCCCTTCTCCGTTCCTTATTCTCCTCTCCACTCATCCTTCCCCACCCCCTCTCCGTTCCTTATTCTCCTCTCCACTCATCCTTCCCCACCCCTTCTCCGTTCCTTATTCTCCTCTCCACTCATCCTTCCCCACCCCTTCTCCGTTCCTTATTCTCCTCTCCACTCATCCTTCCCCACCCCTTCTCCGTTCCTTATTCTCCTCTCCACTCATCCTTCCCCACCCCTTCTCCGTTCCTTATTCTCCTCTCCACTCATCCTTCCCCACCCCTTCTCCGTTCCTTATTCTCCTCTCCACTCATCCTTCCCCAGCCCTTCTTCGTTCCTTATTCTCCTCTCCACTCATCCTTCCCCACCCCTTCTCCGTTCCTTATTCTCCTCTCCACTCATCCTTCCCCACCCCTTCTCCGTTCCTTATTCTTTCACTTCATTCTCTCCATTCCTCACCTCGAGGGGTTGGGTTAAAAGCAGAAAGAGATTTCTGTGGACTGTAAGGAATGGACAAATAGGTATATTCTTCTTCTAACCTCTCTCTCTCTCTCCTCTGTTCCTCCGTAGTGTTGCTGCGAGAGGAGGTGGCCCAGCTGCAGAAGGAGGTGCACCTGTTGAGGCAGATGAAGGACATGTTGAGTAAGGACTTGGAGGAGACCCAGGGCCAGGGCTGCTCCTCCCACCTCCTTTCTGCCACTGAGCTGCGTGTGCAGCTGGGAGACAAGGAGCAGGAGCTGGACCGTGCCAAGGAGGCTTTACAAGGTCAGGATGACCCCCGTAGTGCTCACCTACTACCCTGTCCTACCCTACTGTCCTACCTGAGTCCTACCCTACTGTCCTTCCTGAGTCCTACCCTACTGTCCTTCCTGAGTCCTACCTGAGTCCTACCCTACTGTCCTACCTGAGTCCTACCTGAGTCCTATCCTACTGTCCTACCTGAGTCCTACTCTACTGTCCTACCTGAGTCCTACCCTACTGTCCTACCTGTGTCCTACCCTACTGTCCTACCTGAGTCCCACTACTGTCCTACCTGAGTCCTACCCTACTGTCCTACCTGAGTCCTACCTGAGTCCTATCCTACTGTCCTACCTGAGTCCTACTCTACTGTCCTACCTGAGTCCTACTACTGTCCTACCTGAGTCCTACCCTACTGTCCTACCTGTGTCCTACCCTACTGTCCTACCTGAGTCCCACTACTGTCCTACCTGAGTCCTACCCTACTGTCCTACCTGTGTCCTACCCTACTGTCCTACCTGAGTCCCACTACTGTCCTACCTGAGTCATACCCTACTGTCCTACCTGAGTCCTACTACTGTCTTACCTGAGTCCAAATATACTACACAGCTGTCTGAGCCCTGGCACACCCACTTAAGCCCCATATGTTTCTCACACAGCTCAGTCAAACCCACTTCATCTCAGTAGAGATAACATCAGTTTATCACTCAACATATCGATCAGTCAATTTAATCTGACCTAATTGTGTGGTATGGCCCATATGTTTATCTATATACTAACTGTGTGGTGTAGAAATCTTATCTGTCATCTCCAAATCTCCTATCAGTCATGGTGTGTGTGTGAGGGAGACGTAGATAAGTCAATACCTTCTGCCTGTTCTGTCCTTCCACAGTGTCAGTTATGAGATCTGTTCATCAGTCCACTTGGCTCTAGTCTAGGCTCAGTTCTTGTAAGGTTGAGTTCCATAAATGGTAGCACACAGGCATTGCTTTATGATACAGTGTATGCTTTTGGCTTGGAGTGGAATGCTATGTAGAGGATGTGGTGTTGAGAGGAGACAACTTGTCATCACACTGTGGCCAAGTGTGGTTCGCAACCCCTCTTACCCCTACACCCAAAGCAATATTTTACAGATAAATATTTACTTGCTTGTTTAACCCTGCTGAGGCAGACTGGCTGTATGTAGAATGGTGGGAGCATGAAAACGTAAAGAAGACAAAAGCTATCTCTCAAACCTCCCCCCATCTATCCCTCCTCCCCTCCTCTATCTTCCTCTCTTCCACTCAGGGAGCAACAGGTGGCAGGTAGCGTGCTCATAACTGTAGAGGTATCGTGTAACTGTTGAAGAACAGGTTTAAATGTTGAGTGAGGAGAGTTATGGCAGAACATGTATATTGGGAATGATTAAGCCTCAATTAATGACATCTGTGTTGCGGTTATGGAGAGAACAGCTTCTCCTTTTTCTTGAATAGAGAGCTTTAGGAATACTGTTCATGAGTCACAATCTTACTCTGCCTGTCAAAGCTTTCTCTAGATTCCTGTCCTACAAATACAGTTTATGAGTTATGGTCTCTACTGAAAAGCAAGCTTCGACCCTGGAAGTTGGCTGTTCTAAACATGCTGTCTGGGTAGCAAATGCCATTATGCCAAGCATATTTAGGGGAGGATTGGTGAATATAGTCCCCACATCAGTCTGTGTGGTTACGTGACTAAGTGCCTATCTGCTACTGATCTTAGATCATTACATCATTTACTCCATGGTGCTTCTATGTAAAAACAATGTTGCTCTTCCTAGGATTTTACAATATGTCACAGTGCCATCTTGTGGCAATTCAATATACAGTGCATTCGGAAAGTATTCAGACCGGTTGACTTTTTCCACATTTTGTCACATTACGGCCTTATTCTAAAATGTATTAAATGTATAAAAATTTTCCCCACATCAATCTACACACAATACCCCATAATGACAAAGCAAAAACAGGTTTTAGAAATGCAAATGTATTCAAAATAAAACACTGAAATATCACATTTACATAAGTATTCAGACCCTTTACTCAGTCCTTTGTTGAAGCACATTTGGCAGCGATTACAGCCTCGAGTCTTCTTGGGTATGACGCTACAAGCTTGGCACACCTGTTTTTGGGGTGTTTCCCTCATTCCTCTCTGCAGATCCTCTCAAGCTCTGTCAGGTTGGATGGGGAGCGTCTCTGCACAGCTATTTTCAGGTCTCTCCAGAGATGTTAGATCGGGTTCAAATCCGGCCTCTGGCTGGGCCACTCAAGGACATTCAGAGACTTGTCCCGAAGCCATTCCTGCGTTGTCTTGGCTGTTTGGTTAGGGTCGTTTTCCTGTTGGAAGGTGAACCTTCGCCCCAGTCTGAGGTCCTGAGCGCCCTGGAGCAGGTTTTCATCAAGGATCTCTCTGTACTTTGCTCTGTTCATCTTTCCCTCAAGCCTGACTAGTCTCCCAGTCCCTGCCGCTGAAAAATATCCCCACAGCATGATGCTGCCACAACCATGGGATGGTGCCAGGTTTCCTCCAGACGTGACGCTTGGCATTCAGGCCAAAGAGTTCAATTTTGGTTTAATCAGATCAGAGAATCTTATTTTTCATGGTCTGAGAGTCCTTTAGGTGCCTTTTGGCAAACTCCAAGCGGGCTGTCATGTGCATTTTACTGAGGAGTGGCTTCCGTCTGGCCACTCTACCATAAAGGCCTGATTGGTGGAGTGCTGCAGAGATGGCTGTCCTTCTAGAAGGTTCTCCCATCGCCACAGAGGAACTGTGGAGCTCTGCCAGAGTGACCATCTGGTTCTTGGTCACCTCCCTGACCAAGGCCCTTCTCCCCCGATTGCTCAGTTTGGCCGGGCGGCCAGCTCTAGGAAGAGTCTTGGTGGTTCCAAACTTCTTCCATTTAAGAATGAAGGAGGCCACTGTATTATTGGGGACCTTCAATGCTAGAAATGTTGTGCCTCGACACAATCCTGTCTCGGAGCTCTACGGACAATTCCTTCGACCTCATGGCTTGGTTTTTGCTCTGACATGCACTGTCAACTGTGGGACCTTTTATAGACAGGTGTGTGCCATTCCAAATCATGTCCAATTAATTGAATTTACCACAGGTGGAATCAAGTTGTAGAAACATCTTAACCATGATCAATGGAAACAGGATGCACCTGAGCTCAATTTCGAGTCTCATAGCAAAGGGTCTGAAACTTATGTAAATAAGGTATTTCTGTTTTACATTTGTAATACATTTGCCAAAATGACTAAAAACCTGTTTTCGCTTTGTCATTATGGGTATTGTGTGTAGATTGATGAGTAAAAAAAAGTATTTATCAATTTTAGAATAAGGCTGTAACGTAACAAAATGTGGAAAAAGTGAAGGGTTCTGAATACTTTCTGAATGCACTGTAACTGCATATTTGACCCAACCTTTGGTCAAAGCCTTTAGTCTTGATTTGTTTGTTTGTGTGCGTGTGTGTGTGTGTGTGTGTGTGTGTGTGTGTGTGTGTGTGTGTGTGTGTGTGTCCAACAGCTATGAAGTCTGACCGTAAGCGTCTGAAGGTGGAGAAGGCAGACCTGGTGAACCAGATGCAGCAGCTGTACACCACACTGGAGAGCCGGGAGGAGCAGCTCCGAGACTTCATACGCAACTACGACCAGCACCGTAAGGTACATTACATTCAACTACGACCAGCACCGTAAGGTACATTACACTCAACTACGACCAGCACCGTAAGGTACACTACCGTTCAAAAGTTTGGGGTCACTTAGAAATGTCCTTGTTTTCTATGAAAACATACATGAAATTAGTTTGAATAGGAAATATAGCAGAATGCATAGGAAATGTAGTCATTGACAAGGTTAGAAATAATGATTTTTAGTAGAAATAATAATTGTGTCCTTCAAACTTTGCTTTCGTCAAAGAATCCTTCATTTGCAGCAATTACAGCCTTGCAGACCTTTGGCATTCTAGTTGTCAATTTGTTGAGGTAATCTGAAGAGATTTCACCCCATGTCTCCTGAAGCACCTCCCACAAGTTGTATTGGCTTGATGGGCACTTCTTACGTACCATACGGTCAAGCTGCTCCCACAACAGCTCAATAGTGTTGAGATCCGGTGACTGTGCTGGCCACTCCATTATAGACAGAATACCAGCTGACTGCTTCTTCCCTAAATAGTTATTGCATAGTTTGGAGCTGTGCTTTGGGTCATTGTCCTGTTGTAGGAGGAAATTGGCTCCAATCAAGTGCCGTCCACAGGGTATGGCATGGCATTGCAAAATGGAGTGATAACCTTCCTTCTTCAAGATCCCTTTTACCCTGTAAAAATCTCCCACTTTACCACCACCAAAGCACCCCCAGACCATCACATTGCCTCCACCATACCATGCTTGACAGATGGCATCAAGCACTCCTCCAGCATCTTTTCATTTGGTCTGCATCTCACAAATGTTCTTATTTGTGATCCGAACACCTCAAACTTCTATTCGTCTGTCCATAACACTTTTTTCCAATATTCCTCTATCCAGTGTCTGTGTTCTTTTGCCCGTCTTAATCTTTTCTTTTTATTGGCCAGTCTGAGATATGGCTTTTTCTTTGCAACTCTGCCTAGAAGGTCAGCATCCCGGAGTCGCCTCTTCACTGTTGACGTTGAGACTGGTGTTTTGCGGGTACTATTTAATGAAGCTGCCAGTTGAGGACCTGTGAGGCGTCTGTTTCTCAAACTAGACACTCTAATGTATTTGTCCTCTTGCTCAGTTGTGCACCGGGGCCTCCCACTCCTCTTTCTATTCTGGTTAGAGCCAGTTTGCGCTGTTCTGTGAAGGGAGTAGTACACAGCGTTGTACGAGATCTTCAGTTTCTTGGCAAATTCTCGTATGGTATAGCCTTCATTTCTCAGAACAAGAATAGACTGACGAGTTTCAGAAGAAAGTTATTTGTTTCTGGCCATTTTGAGCCTGTAATTGAACCCACAATTGCTGACGCTCCAGATACTCAACTAGTCTCAAGAAGGCCAGTTTTATTGCTTCTTTAATCAGCACAACAGTTTCAGCTGTGCTAACATAATTGCAAAAGGGTTTTCTAATGATCAATTAGCCTTTTAAAATGATAAACTTGGATTAGCAAACACAACGTGCCATTGGAACACAGGACTGATGGTTGCTGATATTGGGCCTCTGTACGCCTATGTAGATACAGTATTCCATTAAAGAACAGCCGTTTCCAGCTACAATAGCCATTTACAACATTAACAATGTCTACACTGTATTTCTGATCAATTTTATGTTATTTTAATGGACAAAAAAATTGCTTTTCTTGCGAAAACAAGGACATTTCTAAGTGACCCCAAACTTTTGAACGGTAGTGTACATTACACTCAATCATGACCAGCACCGAAAGGTACATTACACTCAACTAGGACCAACACCGAAAGGTACATTACACTCAACCAGGACCAACACCGTAAGGTACATTACACTCAACTAGGACCAGCACCGTAAGGTACATTACACTCAACTAGGACCAACACTGAAAGGTACATTTACACTCAACTAGGACCAGCACCGTAAGGTACATTACACTCAACTAGGACCAACACTGAAAGGTACATTTACACTCAACTAGGACCAACACTGAAAGGTACATTTACACTCAACTAGGACCAGCACTGAAAGGTACATTTACACTCAACTAGGACCAGCACTGAAAGGTAAATTTACACTCAACTAGGACCAACACTGAAAGGTACATTTACACTCAACTAGGACCAGCACTGAAAGGTACATTCACTCAACAACTATACATACAGTAGCCAGAAACACAAGTATTTTGACCTAATATAACTGAGATTCATTGAGCAGACATGTGCTCACACACTGGTTTAAGGCAGTACTATGCTGTGAAGATTGACAGTATCTGTGTGCTCTACTGTAGGAGAGTGAGGATGCTGTGAAGGCCCTGGCTAAGGAGAAGGACCTGCTGGAGAGGGAGAAATGGGATCTGAGGAGGCAGACCAAAGAGGCCACAGAGCAGGCCTGCATCCTGCGCTCTCACATGGATATGAAGGAGAACCGCATCAAAGAGCTCGAGGCTGAGCTCACTATGGTGAGACACACACACACCCACGCACATACACACACGCACACACACGCACGCACGCATGCACACTCACACACAGACACACACACACACAATGTGACACGCACACACTGATATGCACTGACACACACACGCTGTGCTTTGCTCTGTAATGGAATTCATGCATTTTCTGCCTGGTTGCGGAGCTCCTAGAGAGCCTGTTGACTGAGAGATGGCCTCATTATTCACTCCATGTCCTTAATTCCTCTCTGCTGCCAGTCAACAGCCAGCCCACCACCTCTATAGGGCTAAGCTAGCTCCTCACTACCCGCAGCAGCGGCTGATAAGATTTATCAGAGCTAGAAGACCGTATCTCTGTCTCTGTCAAGTGCTCACAGACAGAGACACGTGTGGCAGTGTTCCTATGTGCGGGTGTGTGTATTGTGCATCATAGTGCCTACATGTCTCCATGCACGTATGTGCGTGTCTGTACCACTGTATCTTACCGCCCTATGTGTGTATTTATGCCAGGCGAAACAGTCCCTGGCCACGTTGACTAAGGATGTGCCGAAGCGCCACTCCCTGGCCATGCCCTCAGAGCCGGTGGTGAACGGCAGTCAGGAGTGGGCGATGCAGGGAGACCTGCCCCTCACCGCTGCCATCCGCCAGAGCCAACAGACCCTCTACCACGGACACACTGTGGACCGCCAGGGTAGGCTCACCTGTCTGTCTCTGTCTCTGTCTCTGTTTGTCTCTCTCTCTCTCTCTCTCTCTCTCTCTCTCTCTCTATCTCTCTCTCTCTCTCTCTCTCTCTCTCTCTCTCTCTCTCTTTCTCTTTCTCACACACACAAACAGCACAACCATTACTGTATTGAGGAGTCAGTGAGTCTAATGTGTGTGTCTCCCCTCTAGCTGTGGTCAGGGTGAGTCCCTGTCACTCCCGCCAGCCCTCCATTATCTCGGACGCGTCGGCGGCTGACGGGGATCGGTCGTCCACCCCAAGTGACATCAACTCCCCCCGCCACCGGACCCACTCCCTCTGCAATGTAAGAGCTGCCTGGCCTCCCCGACCAAGTAATCACACCTCCACAATTCTCTATAAGTACCTTTATGTACTCCTCTCTGTTCTGTCTGTCTGTCTGTCTTTACTCTGCCTGCTCTTTCCCTTGGTTTAGTTCTGTTAAAGTATTGGTTCACTGTAGTTCTGTGATTTAATCTGCAAGTTGTTTGTGAGAGAATCTCCTGGTTCATTTACTAACCTGAATGTCTGTGTCCTCTGCCCTCTCTCTTTATCTCTTTCCTACTCCCCTCTGCCCCCTCTTTCTTTCCTCCTGCCCTCTCTCTCTCTCCTCCTGCCCTCCCTCTCTCTCTCCTCCTGCCCTCCCTCTCTCTCTCTCCTCCTGCCCTCCCTATCTCTCTCTCCTCCTGCCCTCCCTATCTCTCTCTCCTCCTGCCCTCCCTATCTCTCTTCTTTCTGCCCTCCCTCTCTCTCCTTCCTACTGCCCTCCCTCTCTCACTCCTCCTGCCCTCCCTTTCTCTCCTCCTGCCCTCCCTCTCTCTCCTTCCTCCTGCCCTCCCTCGCTCTTTCCTCCTGCCCTCCCTCTCTCGCCTTCCTCCTGCCCTCCCTCGCTCACTCCTCCTGCCCTCCATCGCTCTCTCCTCCTGCCCTCCCTCTCTCTCTCATCCTGCCCTCCCTCTCTCTCCTTCCTCCTGCCCTCCCTCTCTCTCTCCTCTTGCCATCTCCTTCTCCTGGCCTAGTCTATGGAGGACCTGGAGGACCAGAAGCGTAAGACGAAGAAGAAGGAGAAGATGAGTCTGGGCTCCCTGTCCCGGGTGTTTGCTCGGGGAAAGCAGCGCAAGTCAATGGACCCGGGCCTGTTTGATGGTACATCCACCCCTGATTATTACATAGAGGAGGATGCCGACTGGTGATGGTGTGTGTGGATTTCTGTGTGGGTCTGGTTGTGTGCATGCGGATGTGTTTGTGTATGTGTGTGCCTCCACGTGTGTGTGTGTGTGTGTGTGTGCGGGTGTGTTGCCTTGTGTTCCCAAAAGAAAGACCTGAGAGACAAGAAAGACCCCAGATAATGTACATTATCCTCAAAAATGTATGTATGTAAATTAAATATATATTTATAGATGTACATGTATGCATATGTATATATGTTTACATGCATATAAATATATAGATGGGATTATTATGTGTTGACATGTTTATGCTGTGTTGTCTTTTATTTGTCTTAATATATGTTTCTTTTTTATAACTGGAGACTTGAAGGACAGCTGTGCATATGTAAATAGGAGTAATTGTGCACCTAGTGTTTGTAAATGTCTTTTGTCTGATAACGGTTTTATTTTATAGTTACTTTTGGACTTTTTTATTTCGAATTCTCCCATCCCAGTCTTATTTGGCCCATTCCTTACATTCTCATGAAAATATGAATGAGGAATACCCTCCACATTGTAACTGAAGACTAAACATACTACTAACAACAACTAACCCTCCCCTGAACCGATGTATAATGGACAACTGGTATCATTTAGTAATCAACAAACATTGAGGTCTATGGAAAAAAACATGTTTCTGACAGTGTAACTGAAACTAAATAATAATAATATGACAATCATAAGGACATTTGATATTGTAGTTCACAGTGGACCAGTTAGTCCGCTTTTTCAGAAACCTCCCACTATACAGCGACAGTAAGGAGTTTGACCAGCCTTTTGTTGTGCCACTGTAGAATAAGGGAACCTACTACAGCTGGGGGAGCAGGCCTTATTGCTTATTCTGTGATATTGGACAATAGGGGAGGAACAATACGTTTAAATAGCCCACTGGGCAGCATCGACGAATAGGATAGCATTAAATAGGATGATGCTGTGAGTGCCAGAGTGGGTTTGTATAGATATAGGTTTAGGGGTATTGGAATGGGAATGCTAGCTAGGTAGATTATTAATATGTGTTTGTTTGTGTTGGCCTCCTGCTCTGTTCTACCGATAGCTGAATGTTTCAGATATCAATTGTTAAAGACTTACAGTACCCTGCCCAGCCTGTGTTAGATCGATCCAAATACATTTCTTAGACTGAACGCTGAAAACCAAAATAAGGTGCCAAAACAATGGTTTTACAACATGAAGTGAAAAAATGTTTTGCACACTAAATAATTACATGTTTCTGACTCATATACACACACACACACTCACACACACACTGTTTGAATGCATTTTAAATTGCCAAAGGTGCAAGTTTGGTCTTTGATAAAACAGAGTCAGAGTAGATGTGTGTCACTGTTAGCACTGCCTTGTAAGATTGCTTTTGTCTTTATTGAGTTGACAACTATCTAACGTGCCAACGGTAAGCATAGGACTGTGCACTAAAACCCCTGCATGATTACCTGTGCTGCTTTGGTTAGGAATCCATTAGTTAGCAGTGAAAATAACAACCTCAAGCATTCTCTGTTGTTCGTATTCCCTATCACCCCCCCCCCCCCCCCCGAAACAAAACACATTCCCATTTTTCATTCTCTTGCATCATTCTGGACGCAATGAAAGTTTTTTGTTATTTTTGTTGTTTTGCTCTTTACCTTACAACCCTCCTCATTTCTTACATTTGTGATTATGATAATAATCTGTTTAATGTTTTGTAATTTAGGAGATGTTGCATAAAAGAGTAAATCTATTATTAAGTATTTTATTTAAAGAACAAGAAGTAACTTCAAGGGTAAAAATGAACATGATAAATGATTGAAATAAAATCTTATTTTAAAATAAAACCAGCAACCAAGTATCCATGTGGCGTTCTTCTGTTCCATGTCTAATCTGTTCTTGTGTCCTGGTGCCCCTCTCAACTCTCCCTCTCTGGGCCACATTGCCATATTGGATAGTGACTCCCTCCTTCCCTCACTCCCCAGAAAATATATCCTCATCTGTGATTTACCAAGTGTCTGTTTCCACACTGTGGGGATTATTCATAAAACTATACTGAAGGGAAATTACCTCCTGTGCTGTCTTTTGAAAACCTACTGAACAATTCATAGAGATTGTACTTCTATAGACCTCACTCTCAACATGTTAACAAGGTTTAAGGAACACTTGCTAATCATCCTGGATTTTGCAGAGCACTTATTTGTTGGAGGCTTGTTTGAACAGGTTGTAAATTCACAGCAGATGGTAGTTATGAATAATGTGTGGTGTTTCAAATGTGTCTCAATCTTTAATATTTGCCCCTAGTGACTAAAAGTCACTCCATCCCCACCCGATCGTTCAAACTCAACCATTCAAACTCAAACCTTAACCCAACTCACACAGCATTTGCTGAACAGTAAAACCATAGACTGACTAATAGTTTTCATTGTATAATTTAAAAAGGTCTTCCTGTATTTGTCAGTGCTTGAGTCACCTGCTCAGTTGTGGCACCGGTTCTCACTTTGTAATATAAATTGTAGTGTGATGAGCCATTAATTCATGTCATCATTATGGCATCTGATCAGTACTCTAGATTGTAGAGAGACCTCAATAATACAGTGCTTTGGTGAATTACTCTGGCACCATCTTCTGGCTGCATAGAGCAGTGGCTGACTGTTCATGCTAGTCCTAAAGCAGTTTTTACACATTCCTGGTCCTGTCTCTTGTTTAGACCCTCTGTCAGTCAATCGCTAATACTCCTGTCATGAAATGGCAGGTTTGACGTTAGATGCCGGGGGATATTGTACAGGTTGATTTGAGTTGCCCAACAATCCCATGTGCTTCAGTAGATGGTACATATTGTAGCCATGTCAATATTTTACAGAGGGATGTTAGTAATATCAAATTAAATCACATTTTATTTATCACATGTGCCGAATACAACATGTGTAGACCTTACAGTGAAATGCTTACTTACAAGCCCTTAACCAACAAATGCAGTTAAAAAAAAAAAAGTGTTAAGTCAAAAATAGATAAGTCAAAATAAGATAAAAAAAGAAGAAAAATAACAAATAATTAAAGAGCAGCAGTAAAATAACAGTAGCGAGGCTATATACAGGGGGTACCGGTACAGAGTCAATGTGCGGGGGCAAAGGTTAGTCGAGGTAATTGAGGTAATATGTACAATATCCTAGGTACACAGTGATATATATCCTCCTCCCTTTTCTACTGTTAAATTTGAGTTGGATGAGTCATTTATGCCTCTCAATTCCTTTGACCCCAAACCCCTCCCCTGTCCTGTACTTCCCCTGACCAATCCTGACAGACTCTGACAACCTCTCCAGCCTATCAACACAACAACACAGCCTATCAGACGGAGAGGAGCAGCTGGACCGCCTCCAGCAGATGGAGCTCATTCGGAACATGCCCATGTCACTGTGGAAGGCAGGGGCAGTACAAGCCTGGCTGGAGTTTGTCATGGCAATGTCCATGTACATTCGTGCTTGCTCGGAAAACGTCAAAAGTGGCAAGGTACGGCCTCTACACTTCAACATGTAACAAGTACACATCCACTTTAAGTCTGATTTCAGGACTTGTTTTTACAAAGCCTGTAATGATGGTAACAGCATTAATAAGAATCCCTCGTCTTTCCAGGAAAACCGGGATTTCGGCATGCTTTCCCTTCCTCATAGCATCAGCATTAGATCTAGTATTCCCTCGTCCATGCTTGCTTGCATGTGTGCGCCTTAGTCTGTGAGTGCTGTGCAGTGGAGGTGTAGATTGATGAGAAGAGTGTTCTGGGTGGGTGTCCCCTGGCTGCAGGTGCTGCTGGGGCTGACAGACGAGGACCTGGAGCTGGGACTGGGCATCAGTAACCCCATGCACCGCAGGAAGCTACGCCTCGCCATCGAGGACTACAGGGAGGCAGAGGCTGGCCAGGGGTGAGCTGGAACAGGCACACATACACATAATCAGGCATGCACACACATTACTGAGTGTGACCGTCTCAAATGTTAGGCTATCAAAGGCTGCTGACATGGACCATCATTGGGTTTCCAAATCTTGGTTGAGTGACGTCGGGTTGCCGCAGTATTCCCAAGCCTTCCAAAGCCAACTGGTGGACGGCCGGGTGCTCAACTCCCTCAGCCGCCGAGACCTGGAGAGACTCCTGAACATCACCACCCAGTCCCACCAAACCAGCCTGCTCCTGGCCATCCAGCTCCTGCAACTGCTCAACTTCGACAAAGAGGTCAGACCTGTAGTCATTATCAATACTGTGACATTAGAGCGACCGCTCAGCTTCTACTCCCGGTGTGTTTGTGGAGTGGTTACAGTAGTAACCGTACAGTAGTAACAGTACAGTAGTCCCGTACGGTAGTAACCGTATGGTATTGTAACCGTATATTAACAGTACAGTAGTCCCGTACGGTAGTAACCGTATGGTATTGTAACCGTATATTAACAGTACAGTAGTCCCGTACGGTAGTAACCGTATGGTTTTGTAACCGTATATTAACAGTACAGTAGTCCCGTACGGTAGTAACCGTATGGTTTTGTAACCGTATATTAACAGTACAGTAGTCCCGTACGGTAGTAACCGTATGGTATTGTAACCGTATATTAACAGTACAGCAGTCCCGTACGGTAGTAACCGTATGGTATTGTAACCGTATATTAACAGTACAGTAGTCCCGTACGGTAGTAACCATATGGTATTGTAACCGTATATTAACAGTACAGTAGTCCCGTACGGTAGTAACCGTATGGTATTGTAGCCGTATATTAACAGTACAGTATGTGTGTGTTGTTGGTTGCAGGTGCTGCAGGCTCGCCGAGCCCAGTGTGAGCACCAGCACCAGGACCCAGTGGTTTGGACTTGCCACAGAGTCATAAAGTGGATCAGAGACATAGACCTAAAAGTGGGTCCTTTTCCTAGAACAGAAACATCAGAATGCACCTGGATTCCGTTCAGACTGTCTCCATTTTGGGCCAATAGACTGGTGTATACACTGTATATAGATCGTGATAGGGGAGATTGAGTCAAATTTAGCCAAGTTGTTTGTTTGACATTGTTCTTCTTGGATAATATTCTGTCCCTATGTCTCACTGGTCAGGAGTATGCTGACAGTCTTCATGGCAGGGGAGTCCATGGTGCTGTGCTGGCTCTGGACCCCTCATTTGATGCAGATGCCATGGCCAAGGCCCTGGGAATCCCCAGCCACAAACATATGCTCCATCGGCACATGTATGAAGAGATGAAGGCTCTCGCCATCCCTGCCAGGTGATTGGTCTTCCTATATAAATTATATTTTAAAGCTATTTGGCAATAAGTATAATATTTTGTTGATGAAGAATTTACAGCAGTGAGGTTAATTGAGTCTTCCCTTCTTCCTACCCCTTGTAGGCAAAGTAGTGTGGAGCAGGATTGTGAAGTGCTGGGAACGGGAGCCCCTCCACAATCCCCTTCTGCTGTTAGCCGCTATAACGAGGAGATTGTGTCTATGAGACGAAGGTCAGGCAAGGTAAGAAGAAGCTACTTTAACAATTTTATTTATGAAGATGTCTCAACAAATGGTAGGTATTCAAACTTGTACTCAAAATGAGGCTGTACTGTTCAACTGGGTATAAGCTCTGTTTTGACTCATTCTTCCTTTCATTTTCCCAGAGTCCTCTGCGGTTTAACCCAAAGATCGCCATTGGACGGGGCCTTGGTTACCATGGCAGCTGTGGATCTCTGCCCAGAGAGGCACGGGTGCAGGCTGTGCCCAGGACAAAGGGAAGTCCCATGCACACCTACAAGAGTGTTGAGATCACCAATGTCTAAACTGTGCCCTGTGGGGGATACAGGTGGTTTACTCCAGGTGAAAAGTATTCAATAGCAACAGAATTGCTGTTTTTTGACAATCTAAAATAAATCAAAATCTTCATTTTTGGAATTGACCATTTTATTTTCAATTTCAGAGACATTTTATTTATTGTTCTACAGTAAATGACAATATATCAGTGGACTTAATTCCTTATGTTTGAATAGGGAAAACTATAAACATTTTGTAACATTCAAAGCTCCAAAACTGGTGGCATGTTTCCTTTCAAAGAATGACCATCACAGTTTTTCTTTAACAAGGCATCTCTTGTAACATATATTGAGGAACATTATGGTAATAATGTATTGCTGCATATCAAAAGTCCATGGAGGGTAAAAGTGGTCTGTTCCTGTTGCCATGTGAGGAGGATGATCATTCACTTTGGTCAGGGTCTCTGGAGGGAGGAGGTACGCCTGATGTCCCGGTCCTTTGATGTCCATGCCCTGTTTCCTGTATCTCACTGCCTGGTCTGGCCGGCCTCCCCATGCAGAGTGATTTTAGCCTGCCTGGGTTTCCTGGCTCAAATCAGTTGCAGACTTCTGGAACTTGGAACCCTTTCTTCGGAACCCGCCATTCCCTGGGTTCCGTGTACGTTTAACATTGCATTCCATATTGTGAGAGATAACTGGCCTTGGGTTAAGACAGCAGCTGTCTGGAGGATTAGGTGTGTGTGTGTGTGTGGGGGGGGGGGGGGGGGGGGGGGGGGCTATAGCAGAGCTTTCTCTTTGTTCAAATAGCTCAAATGTGGCCAAGAGGCACAGACTACAATTTGTTATGTTTGTCAGAAATTTACTTTGTCAGAAATATACTTATACTTTCATGAAAGCAATAAAAGCACTTTGATTCCATGGAAACATGCTGGTACAATTCCCCTAGAAACTACAGAGCCCACCCAGCTTTTCATATTGTTGAATTAAGCTCTTTTGTTTGTTATTTGCAAAGGAGTCTTTAATTTCATTGTAAATATGGGAAAATATTACATTCTACTATTCAATTCATTATAAGGTCAAGATTTTGCTGTCTCTCATGTGTCACAGTGATTACAATATTGTAAATATTTGTACAGTTTGCAGTACGGATAATGAAGGACTTCAAACAAAGGAACAGCCAGATAATGCCATGGTGTAGAATGTCTATGCAGGCCAGAATGTCAAGGAATTATTGTTTTGTTTTATCATCATTAACTCAGAGTGCATGAGCTGCGTGCAGTATACAGTACAATAGTATTGCAGTGTATTTTACCAGAGCAATCCACAGCCATGTCACACATGCAAACAGCTGGAGGGGGTATAGAACCAGAGGAAAACAGGTCTATCAGCTATAGGCCTCACCTACAAAAACCAACCCCAGCACCCTAGTGAACACAGTCAGATAGAGATAAAAAGCGGGAACATTAGACTAGTTCAAAGTAGTAAAATGTGGTTGTAAGATGTGGTTTGAATATCCAATGATAATGCTTTACAGAAAACACACACTAAATTGTTGATTTTTTATGGTGTAACAATCTACTTTCACACAAGCATATCACATTCATATTGTCAGACTACTAACAACAGAACAGAGTGGCAATTTCCATAAAATGAGAAAGAGATCAGAGTTTATATTGTATGTTTTCAAATAGGTGTTTGTGAAGTAATGATGTACTGTACATGTGCCATTGCTGATTTTTTTTTAAACAGCTGTACATGAACTACAATACATTATTGAGCGCTTGTGTTTCATGTAGGCCTACTCAATAATAAAGATATAATAATAAAGATATAAATGCTATCAGAAATGCAGTTTATTATGAGCACATAAGCAAATCGAGTAGAATATAATTGCATTAATTTCATTTTCATTTGGATTTAGTCTGCTCAGACACTTCTCAGACAGGCCTATTTAGGGGGATACAATTGTCAATCCAAGTTTATTTGAGTTTATGGGGAAAGTCCACCATAAACACTCTTTATGAACGTGCGTCTACGTGCGCTAAAGCCGCGTTCACGCGCGCGGCATAAAATCATGGAGGCAGCAAAGGGTTAACTTTAACTTAATAACTCTTTACAACTGGGGGGAGGTTTCACTCTGGGAGGAATTTTGATAAAGTTCCCGTTTAACATATTCCTTGTATTCTATAGCGACTATCATCGGAGGAAATACACACTCTAGTTAATACAGTTTTAAGAGCAGGATTACATTATGCATATTGATGTAGCAATATCGTCATCTTGAAAACACCTGCGATAGATCAGGTTTTCGATTTGGAGGGAAGTCATTGGGCGTTGAGCGTTCACGGTTGGGACAGGTAAGGTCGTCTCAAATTGCAAATCACCTTGACATTTGGAGCAGTGTTCTTCAGACTAACCTTATTATAAGTCTGTGAAGTATTAGGCCGTGTTTTCTGATTACATAAATTATATGTTTGTCTCTGATGGCCAGATGTCAAGGTGATCTAATGCCACAGAGTTGGTAACATGAAATTAGTTCCTCCTTTTAAGTTCCTGGCTGCCCACTTCAGTAGAGGTGCGTGGGTAAAATCACTGGGGAAGCTAGGCCAGAAAAAATGCCATATTACAACCTATGTGTTGTGATTATTGCGTTGTTTGATATATAACCTGTTAGTTGATATGCCTAGCCACCGTGATATATAGGCCTAAGGCCGAGACAATAAGAAGACACAGTGGCAGAATAAATTCAACCACATCTTTTTCATCACAAAACCGGAGAGCAACCTCTGCCCGGTGAAGTCCACAATGCATATTGTATGGAACAAATGACCTACAGCAAAATCAATCAAGTAATGTTTCCTACATTTTCATACTAACATGCTGACCACACCGAACGCGTCGCGTCCGCGAGCGTTGCAAAATAAATGTACACATACATGTTATTCAATCATTGCACCAACACTGCTCGTGCGCGTCTGCGTGGCCAGGCACTAAAATAGAACTCGGTTCTATTTGTGACACTAAATGCGCTGCAAGTCCTGCATCTCCCATCTCCTCATTGGTTTTTAGGAGCATCTACCAACATCGGTGATTGAAAGATGAACTGAGGTCTATGCTCCAGTCCAGTTGATTGTGCTAATGCACCATAAAGTTGGTTGCCAACCACCATATAAAGTCCAAAGAAGTAGAAGAAGAAGCCTGAAGGAGGAGAGATTACTATAAAACAAACTTTTACCCTTTTATCTGTGGATTAATTGTCGGAGTAGAGGACCTTGTGCATTTCAGGTAAAATAACAACCCAATGTTTATATCCCAGGACAAATTAGGTAGCTAAATTTCCATAAATGTTTAATGCTTTTCGACCTGTCCCCAAATTAATATAATTGGTTCAGAGTTTATTTTGATATTTCAACCTGCGTGTCCTGATCGCGTCTGGTGTGGGGGGACAAAAATCAATTTGGTCTGGGTAGCATGTAATAAACAATTATTGATTTAGAACCATGGAGAGTTACAGCAAGTCATAAAGAAAATAGGTGCTGCCTCCACTATTCCAGCACCACTTCAACTTCATCAAATCACACAGTGACAACTAAATGATACCAAAAACAATTTAGTCCAATCAGCGTAAGCTAAATATGATGTGGCTGTCCATGGTTCTATATCGTGGAGCTCCGCCCCATAGGGGAGCTCTGCTCCTAGTGGTTTACCCTCTGCCCTAAGGCAGCATCAGCCTGAGACAAAATTATGCACACACCTGCAGCCAATAGGAGTACAGGTGTCCCTATAAGAGGGGATGCCTCCCCTCAATCTGCCTCCATTTATCTTCAGCGACTGGACTAGACTGAAGAAGCCAAGAAGAGACGAAGAGAAGACTCAGGACGAAGAAAACGCCGTCGATTTTCCAGATCATCGACGTCGTCCTACAATGAGCACACCAAGCTTATCCATAGGGTAAGTATTTTACAAAAGCTCTTTTCAGAGCTCAATGTCGCTGTTCCCCTTGGCGGCTGTCACCCCCCCCCGACATGTTTCGTGGGTCGAGGGACACAGCACGCCAGGGACGGCCTCATTAATCCCCCACTATGCGCCAGCTGCGCCCTCCTTTTTTGAAGGAGTGGAAGCAGCGTTGGGCATTTTTAGGGAGGATATCCCTCTTGAGGATGTGCTATCAGTGTTAGTCTCAGCTTCTGAGGCATCATCTGAAGGCGCTGACTCAGGAGATGACAGGGCTATTGGGGAAGAAATTAATATTCTATTGGAACAATTCATTACACTGACCCAGATGTTTAACACCCCCTTTTCCTTCTGGAAATTGTGAGGTCATTACATCCCTGGATGATGATGCCACAGCCTCTCTGTGCTCTGAATTCTCAGGTCTCATTGAGTGGGCTGCTAAACAGCGGGAGATTAAGCTGCCCCCCATTCCCTCCAACCCGGAAGTGGATATGAGGAAGGGCCGCCGTTACTCTCGCTACAGCTTGGCGTCAGACGGCGGCCTCCAGCAGCAAGGGAGCGGGCCTCGCCCCCCCCTGCAGCACCAGAGGTGCCGGCGAGAGAGGTCATTAAAGCGTCATCCTGGCATCACCCGAAGGGCGGCCAGAAGAGACGCCGTTTATGACAGGCGAGGGGGAGAGAACGGAAGACGGCACAGCGCCTGCTGTGACCGAGCCCACTGTCCCCCCCCCCACCCTACCGTTGAGTGTATGGAGGAGAATGTTTTTTGTTGATGTGTGTAATAAAGAGTTGGCTCTACTTGACACTGTCAAAAAAGAGCCCCTTTTCCATAATACATCCGAGAGCGTTCGACCTTCCTCGCTCTCTCTCTTACCACTATGAGTGCAGCTCAGCCCACCATGGTGCGTTGCTGAACGCACACATAAGGCAGGTATATAAAAGGTATTAAGTGTACCTTATAAAGACCTCACTTTACAGACTCCTAGGAGTGCTGTAGTGAGTGTCTCACATAGCAGGCTGCAGTCTCATAGGGCGGCAGGTAGCTTAGTGGTTAAGAGCGTTGTACCAGTAACCGA